TTTGACCCTGTAAGGGAGATTTCTGCTTCTGTGCCTGTGGGACATTTACAGGGGTTGGTTGTGAGGAGGTCAGTGGCTCTGTGCATGTGCCATGGCAGAACCATCTTGGTGCCGTGGCAGAACCATCCTGGAGCAGAGCCAAGCAGCAAACCAACCCAGATGTCTAGGCTCCAACCATTTAAAAGACAATAAAAGTTAAACATGCACATATACCATGTTTGATTATAAATATGTAAGATATGTAAAGACAAATGATAATATATATTCCTATTTCCTCCATATTTCTGGTCTCATTCTGTAGTACATTTTGTTAAACACAGTGTTTTGGAACTTGCTTCTCTTAACAATATACCTATAGTTCTTCCCATATTGGCACGTGAAGAGCTGCTTAATTCCTTTTACTGCTGCATAGTATTCCATTACATGGATATAAAGTAATTTGTTTAATAGATCCCCCATTCATGGCCACTGTCAGTATTTGGTAGCACAAATAATGCTGCAATGAATAATTGTGTACAAATGTCAGTGTGTATGGGTTAAAATAATAATGTCTCAGAAGTGAGATGGCTGGTTCAAAACATGAATGCATTCATATTTTAATAGATATTGTCAAATTGCCTCCTGTAGGAACTCTATAAATTTGAACTTTACCAGTAATGTATCCAGAGTACTTATTTTCCCAAAGTCTCTCCAGCAGACTATTTTGTCAAATACTTGGGATTTTTGCCAATCTGATAGGTGAGAATGGTATTTTCATGTAGTTTAAATTTACCATAATTTTATTGAGATCTGTTGAGCATATGTTTAAGGAGCACATGTATTTATTTTCTGTGAACTGTCTGTTCATAAGCCTTGCTTCTTTTTTTAAATTGGATTGTTAGTCCAAATTTCTATTTTTAAAAATTTTGCAGATAATTCTTGATATTAGATAGATTTAAGAACCAGTCTTTTGAGGCACAAAGTAAATCTATATAAATTTCAAAAAGCAGGTATTTTGCCAAATATATTTGCTGTACTTAGATGCAAATTGTCTTAAATAGCTTCTCATTAAATATGAAAGAATATATTTTCAAGTGGTTGGTGTTGTTAGTAGTCTCTCCATGCCTTTGCTTTATAGTTTCTTTGTCTATAAAGCGAATGTGGTAGTACCCACCTTAAAATACCCACCTTAAAATTATTGAATGCTTATATATGCCAGAGCCTGATACTCTGTAGCTACTCAAAAGTGGTCGCTACTCTTATTATCAATATTATTACCTAAAGAGAACAAGAAGAAGAAATTAACAAAGATTAAGGCCAATACAAATAAATTAGAAATAAAATGAACACAAAACTTGATAAAGCAGCTTAGCAATAACCCATAACCTTTGGACCAACCTAAAACTTGATAAATCAACCAAGGCTACAGATTTCTAAAGAGCATAGAAAAAGATATTCATTTGGAAGAAAAAAACAAAATGTGTAACTAGCTAGTCAAATATAAGTAAATGTGATACAAAACAAAATTGGGCATTAGAAAAGGCATATAGCCACAGATATGAAGAAAACTGAATACTTACTAATAGATGTTATATTCAATCCACATTATTATATTGGAATTTTTATTTGAAACAGGTGCCTTTCTAGGAAACCACACTGATTTAATACGAGACTAGAAACCTGACCAGATCAATAAGTATGTAATAAATTGGAAAGTTTCCAAATAATTCTCTGTCCAAAAGTTTCTAGGTCTAGATGGTTTGCAGGTAGTTATTTTAAACTCATAAGGAATAGATTTCATGCTGTTTAAACTGTTCAAGAGAAAAAAATATGGAAAGCTTCCCAATTAGTTAAACAGTGTTTAAAAGATTCTCATGAAAGATATTAGACCAATGAAATGAAAAAAGAAAAATATGGGCCAGCCCTGGCCAGGTGGCTCAGTTGGTTGGAGCAGTGTCCTCTACGCCAAGTGGTTGCAGGTTTGATCCTTTGTCAGGGCACATACCTAGGTTGTGGGTTTGACCCCTGGTTGGGGTGCATAGCGGAGGCAGTGAAACAATGTTTCTCTCTCACATCAATGTGTCTCTCTCTCTTCCTGTCTCTTGGGTGAGGATTATAAAAAGACAAAGAAAAAATAGGAGCCAATATTCCTTATGAATGTAGAAGTAAAGATTCTAAACAAAATACCAATTCCAGCAATTCAAATACAAGCAGTCAACTAACAGAATAATATACTATAACCAAGAAAGAGTTATTGTAATTTAAACACTTAAAAAAAGAGTTAGTGTAGTTTAAATAAGTATAAACTGATGAAAGTAGCCTATGAAATTATATGCTTATTAGATAGGACTAAAAACAAAGCTATATTCTGCTTAGTAAAAGACCTACCTACAGAAAAATAACGTGAAACTCTTTAAGATGAAATGAAAAGACATGCTAGGAAAATACCAACCAAAAAAGCTGGTGTAACAATATTACTATCGGACAAAATAGAATTCCAGGAAAGAAGCATTAGTAGGGGTAAAAGGAGCACTCCTTTGTAACTTGGGAATACTCCTTCCTGTCTCGATGTTTCCTGCTGTGTGGAGGGAACACTTCTGTGTAACACCCCTGGCTCTCTCTGCACTCTCTAGTAGGTGAATTTGGGAGCAAGATCTTGGCCTGTGTAGCTGTGTTGCCATCAGGGCTCCCTTCTACTCCTTGGTACCACAAGTCCCAGCTGAGCAGACCCCACGAGAGGAGGCTTGCCCCTGCTCAGCACTGCCTGGGCCTGGGTGGGTAATTCTGGAATTGAATTAGAAGATTCGTTTCATCTTCACGTTAACCTGTGTGCTTTCTCTTGGTCTTTAGCAATAACAAAGGAGTTATTTTGACTTCCAACTGCATTACTCTTAATTTTTTTTTGTTTCTGAGTTTGTTCATAACCTTGGCAAGGAAAGATGCCCTTTACGGGACCCCTCTGAGTCCCCAGCCTACAAGATGATAAAGAGAGCAGTCCACCAGGAGATCGAAGAGTCCTGAACTTATAAGCTTGTACTTAGTAACAGAGTCTTGAGTTTAAAAAGGCAAAAACTCTTAGGGATGTAAGAAGTAGACAAATCCTCAGTTATAATGGAATTTCAATAACATCTCTTGTATACCAGTGGGCCAAGCAAACAAAAAAATTGTGAGGATATAAAAGATTTGAACAGTGCAATGAACGAATTTGATCTCGTAACATACTTTCCTGAACTCAACAAAAGAAAAATGTACATTCTTTTTAAGCCCACATAGAACATGAAAATAAAAGTCTATGTATTAAGTCAATAAATTTCAAATAATATCATACAGATTATGTTCCATGAATAAAAGAAAATTAAATTAAATCAACAAATTAAAATACTGAGAAAAAACATCATACATTTGTAGAGTTAAAAAAAAACCCTTTAAAATAACTCATGGGCTAATGGGGAAATCTAAAAAAAAATGACAAAATATTCAGAACTAAATGACAATGAAAATAAAAAAATTGTATTATTTATGCTATTACAGTTGCCCCCACTTTTTCTCCTCTTGCCCACCTTTACTGAGCACCCCAGTTCCTCAGGCAATCCCTGCACCATGGTCTGTGTCCATGGGTCACACATACATGTTCTTTGGCTAATTTTTCACCTTTTTTCCAGAAAGATGTATAGTTTTAAATGCATTCATGAAAAAGAAGAAAGATTAGATATGTAAGCACATGGGTCAAGAAGTTAGAAAAAGAATAGGAAAAAACCCAAAGTAAACAGAAGGAAGGAAAATAAAAAGGACAAGAACAAGCTGGTGAAGTAGAAAGCAAAAATAACAAATAGAGACAATCAACAAAACCAAAAGCTGTCTATCTGAAAGGATGAGATAAACCCCTAGCGAGGGCTGATTAAGGAAAACAGAAAAAAATACAGATGGTATTACAGCAGTAAAGGAAAGGCTAGAGCTGGGGACAGAAATGGAGTCCTAAGTGAATTCCAAAACAGCTTTATATCGATACATTTGATGGATACTTTTATAGAAAAATATAAATTACCAAAATGTACTCAGTAAGGAGCAGGCAACCTAACTATTCAGCGGTAAATAACTGCATTGGTAGCCAAGGTACCCTCCCACAAAAACAAAAAGAATAGGCCCAGAGGTTTCACAGGTGAGTTTTAACAAACCTTTAAGAAACAGAAAATCCCTGTGGTATACAGACTCTCCCAGAGAATGAGGAACTCCCAGCAGTTTTATGAGGCTGGAGCAGCACGCTGATACCAAAACCCAACAAGGGAAGCACAAGAAAACAAAAAGGCCAGTGTTGCTATTGAACATAGATGTGAAACTCTAAATAAAATATTAACCAGTGGAAGTCAGCAGGGTATAAAAAATCATACGTAAGAAGTCAGTCTGATCCATGGACTGAGGAGATGGCTCAACAGAAGTGTAAATCCACCAGGTTTACAGATGAAAGACCCATGATTGTCTCAGCAAATGCAGAAAAGTGTTCAGTAAAATCCAGCGCTTTCATAATGTGCTAAATGAATCAGGGGAACAAGATAAATTTAGAGTCTTATGGTAAATCCCTTTATAAAGCAACTTTTATCCCACTTATATTTTGAGTAAATCCAGATTTTCATATATTAGAATTTCTTTTCACAAAGGCTTAGTTGCATGTGAGAACCCAAATATATCCAGAAGCTGTGCCTGGTTCTTTGGGAGAACACAAAAACCCACAAAGAAACCAAAAAGTAATGGTGAACTTTGAAGGTGACTCTTGCTTTTCCCACAGTTTGGTTTTGGGCAACCTCACCAGGCAGGTTGTTTAAGTATCCACCTCCCATGAGGTACCTGGGTAGGATTTCCTTTTCCCACTGTTTGAGTGTGGTGCCCAGCACACGGGTTGGGTAAAATGAGGCACATCTGACCTCAAGGAAACATGAAGCAAGTGTCCCTGCCTTGTGTTCTGGCAGGATCTCAGCCACCTTCCTCATTGACTCGGTTTCTTGGGGATATGTCTCTCTTTGCAGGTCCAAAGTGAAGACAGTGCATGAACGGATCCCCTTGGCAGGTCTGAGCAAGCTGCCCAGCATCCCTCAGATTGCGAAGGTAAAAGCCGACCCCTGAGAGAAGGAGACTTCTTCCCTTAGCCCAGGGCTGGCCTCTGGACTGGGTGGGAGTGCAGGCTTCTCCTGGGTGGGCTTTGGCCCTTAACTGCATGCATAGGGGTGCGAGAGGGCTACCGGCAGACATCTGTCTTCCTGTCACCCTCCCTATCTCATCCTTGTGGCTGAGGCTACTCAGTATAATCCATGGTCTCTGCCCCCAAGTTCATGACTAGTTCAGGAGACAAGAGACTTGGAAAGACAGAGCTTAATATGGAGAGTAGGACTTCAGAGGAGGACTGGGAGGGAGCGGCCAGGGAGCCTTCACAGCAGAGGAGGGTTGGGCTTAGGGATGGCCATGCTGTTGGTCCAGATGGAGGATGCCATCCCCTCACCCCACCCCCTACCCCCAGGTCAGGAGCCATCAGCTAGTAGAGGGGCCTGTGTCACTGCTCTGGAGAAACTTGGGAACTGAGTCAGCCAGGTGGGATGAGAAGGATGGTCATCTGGGTTGAGTTGGGCCCACACTTTGGGGGCGGGAATGCTGGGCAGAATTGTGCGCAATCCCTTTGGTGACCTCACTTCATCAGGAAAGTAGGTTGACTTTCCTGGCCCCTCGCAGAGCAGCAGTGCCAGGCCTCCCAGTCTGCAGGTCCTGGCCCTGCCCCGCCGTGTTCTTTCTTTGATGGGCAGAGGAGCCCAGGTGCCATCTGGGATGTGGCCCCTGAGCTGTGTATTTCTCTTTCCCTGCCTAGGCTTTCTGTGATGATGCAGTGGGACTGAAATTCAGCCCTGTCCTGTACCCCAAGGTGAGACCTTTGTCCCTCCCCTTACCCTGGACTCTGCTCTTACCCTGGGCTTGGCATGGATTTGTTCACTGGCGGCTCTGTGGGAAGTTCTCTGCATCTTGGTGGGGTTTTGTGGGGTCTCTGTGATACACCTCATGTCTCCCTCTCGCTGCCCACCCCTTCACAAACTGGTCTTCTGGAAAGCATCCTGGGCCACACCTGGGTCTCCGGCCTGCCCAGGTTGGTCCCCAGCTGTGTGGAGGTGAAGGAGGTATAGTAGCTTCTCCATCTCACTCTGGCCCTCCAGCCCTGAGGCCAGTGCTGGGGTGGGGAGTGTTCTACCTCTAGCTGGGGGCCTGGGGGCTGGGGGCTGGGGCAGACCTGGTCAGCCATCATGGAGGAGGGAGCGGGGCAGAAGGCAGAACTCCACTAAAAAATGAAAGGCGGGCTGCGCTCCTCATTGCCAATGCTGTGCCGCTCTGAGCCCCTGCTCGGTCCTTGTTAATGAACTGGCTGCCTTTCTGCCATCAGTTTTCTTAGGACTGTCCTAATCTTGACCCCATTTCTGATGTGGGCGTGGGAGTGGGGAGAGGAACAATAATAACAAAACCAAACAACAGCCCACTCAAGAACAACTACGGCATAACAGGACTTAATCACCCACAGACAGTGAGTTGCTTTAGATCTAGGAAGAGCCCCTGTGCACACGCGGATTCCTCATGAGCCAGCGGGGTCAGGAGAGAGGAGATGGGTGTGGAGCTGTGCTTCTGTGCCTGCCCCATGGGCCAGCACTGTGGCTGCCCAGGCTTGAGGGGGCTGGCTCAGTCTTTCCCCTGGTACTCTTCTGACAACCAGGAACCACAAGGTGAAATGTTTGGTGGGGAAGAGAGGCCCTATCCTGGCTGGACATCCAGAACCCTGGAACAAACACCTTCAATGTTCACGATTTGGGCAGGACACTATGTATCCCTACGCAGTGGCCGAGCTAATGCAGGGTCTTCTGCACAGCTCATGCGCCAAACCCCTCTCCCAGGCACCTCTTTCCAGCCCTCTTAGCATCTGCAGGCACTTACCAGTAATAAGCTGCACTCCACTGAACATTTTCTCTCATTCCAACTGCCCTTCTCTTTATAATTAAAGCTGAATTAGTGAGGTTTAACCACACATTAAAACCTCATCATAAAGGCCTCACTTAACTACAAGTTTGGCAAATTTTGTTGTCAAATCATATCCACCGAGAGAACCTAATGACGCTCATTTGCATAGTTCTCTCCATCACTCGGAAAGCCTCCTGCTCTGGTAACGATGGAGGAGCAGCTGTATTTTCATGTTTGCTGCATTTGAAGGACTCCTCAGTCCGGCTGGCTGTTCATCTGGCTGGGATGTTGTGTGTGTGCATTTTCAGAATTCACAGAGTTTAGAATGTTCCTTGGCAGGTTTCCATGGCTGGGCGCCTCTTCCTTGGCAGGGCAGCTGCTGCGCTCCTTCGGCTCATCCTGGGAGGGAGTGGGTGGCTCGCTCCGGGTCGGCCAGCAGTTCCGGGGGGAGCTCACGAGTGTCCATTTCCTCAGGCAGATGAACGCCTCCCAGACCTAACACGGCCCATGTAATCCGGCCAACAAACAAGTCGTGCCTGGTTTGTTTTTTCCTGTAGCATAACAGGAGGTTTGGTCCCTTCTTTTTACCGAAAAGGGTGTCATGGTAGCATCCAAATCTTCTCTTTCCCACTGAGCTGGTTCCGCTGTAATCTTTCTGGGGGGTTACATAGATGGTGATGATGGTGATGGTGGCGGTGATGGTTGTAGCTGCTTGGTGCTCTGCACCTTATGCGCCCGATCTCACTGAATCTTCACAACTGCACAGTCCTATTTCACAAATGAGGAAACTGAGGCCCAGAGAAGTTAAGTGGCTTACTTGAAGCTATACAGGTAAAAACAGCAGATTCAAAATTAGAGTTTAGTGTTCCTGACCCTCAGATACCAATTCTTTGCAGCATGATAGAACATTAGGCAGAACCAGTGGTTAGCTCCCCCCATATTGTATTAGGGTACGCTCCTCCTAACAGCAGTCTCCTTTTAGGTCTCTCAGTTATAGAGAAGGCAGATTAAAGTCCGGCAGGAGCAGTGCCTTGTCAAAATCACATTGCTGATTATAGGTGGAATGAGAGCTAGTATCTCCCTTGCTTACCAGTTTGGGAGGCCTGGTTTCACAGGTAAAATACTGGGGTGAAGTCAGTTCCCTGAGTCCTGCCGGACTCCCCATGTGCCCAAGCCTTGGCCGGCACATCTGGATGGGAATGAGTGATGCAGGGGTCCGGCCACTGCTGGAGGGCGCTCCAGTGTCGAGGCCTCGCTGAGACCTTTGGAGCTGCATCCTGACCATCGACTTCGGCCTTCGCCCTTTCTCTTCTAATACACATGTGGATGTCTCATGTCCGGCGGGCAGGCTCTCCACCGAAACGGGTGCTTCCCCTTCTGTTTCCCTCCAAGTTGACAAACCATCTGATTTTTTTCATCCCACATTTTCCAGGCCTCCCAAATGATTGTGTCCTATGATGAGCATGATGTCAAGAACACTTTCAAATTTGGAGTCATTTATCAGAAAGCCAGGCAGGTAAGCACCACAAATCCATACTGGCCACTATATCCTCTGGTTTCTTCCTGGGTACTCTTATGTTCCTCCCCAAGCACAGTACTAGGTTCTTAAATATGCTGATTTCAAGTGTGAATTAGACTGGAGGTGGCTATATTGTCAAGCCATTCCTCACACCCAGGCCTGCAAAGCCTTTATGGTAATGTGATTTTCCAAATGGTAACTTCTGATTCTTCCTGGTGGCTACTCCTGCTTTTCATTATCTCTAGGCTGTGGGTTATAAGACAAATCAGACTGGCTGGAGAGAACGGATTAGCCCAAGCTGCTCTCTGCCCACAATCCTCCCAGCTGGGAATAGCTTTTTCTCCCCATACTTCAGTAGTGTGGCAGCCAGTCATGTGCATTTCTTCCCAAATCTGTGTTCCATGACATCATGTTTGAAGCTTGAATTCAGCCACGGTGGAGTATTTACACCATGGAAATTGGCAAACACCAGGGCTTCTGTCGCCCAGTGTGGAGAGCTGGGTGTTAAAAACTCACCAGTGCCCCACTGCTCCCCCTGCTCTGCCTGTTTCAGCTCTGACATGCTTTGCAGTTAGTTGGATGAATAATGTTTCTCAATGTGTGAAGTACTCTGTGAAGGAGTGACTTGGACAGGGTTTGGGCGCATAGAAACATTTTAAAGCCTCTAAGAACGCCCAAGGTAAAGAACTCTTTATAACTTTGTTGAATATTTATTAACAGCCTGATGAGTAGCCTGCTGAGCACACTGATGTTTCCTCAGCCAGGTTTTATGAAAGAAGGTTTCACACTCTTTTCATCTTTGTATGATCCAGGATCCTAGCATGGTGACTTTGTATAACTGCAGTCATAGTTTTCTGGTATGTGAATTAATGAATGAATAAAAGTTTTGGCCCTGCTGATAGTAGGTCAATAGTACCTTTTACCATTATCTGTGGGTTTGTTTGTCTTTGCATGCCTGAGTCTTTCTTGGCTACCTAATACCTGACTTCCTTGTCTGGAGATATTAGACCACCAGAAACCTGTGTTCACTTAAAAACACTCTAAGTGAGGAGTTTAAGAACTGAAAGAGTAGCATGGATAAATCATATAATTTAAGGGAGATTATTCAGAGGTGCTATGATTATTTTTACATATTGCATTTTTATTTTGTACAGCTCTGCTAATTTAACTCACCTAATTAACGTTCTTTGCTTGTGAAATTTAACCAAAGCAGATCTCATAAGGTGATTATTATCCAATGTTCCAGCAAAGTTATAATTACCGAACATTAACCATCCACCTCTGAGGAGTCCGTGTGTTGTTTATGTACCTGATACTGCTGAGGCAAGGTGGGGGTGTGGGAGGAGACATCTTTTAAAAAAAAACTCAGGAGATTGTTGTTTCACAAACCTAGAGATGGGGGTCATTTGATAGGAGCATTGGTTGCATGAAAGCACAATATCCTACACTTATTATTATTTCAGAATATAAATCAGCCCCATCTAACTCTTCTGTTTGTCCAGCACTGTGCTGAGCATTGAGGGGGATATAGGTAATGACTAAGACACCCTCCCTGAGCGCATGGTCAAGCTCAAGGCCAGTACAAAAATAAAGATAATGCTAATACCAGGCCAGTGTACACCTGGAGAGAGCATGAGCCAAAATATTTTCCCAGCAGAAGATGTACGTTGCCTGGAGGTGGCTGTTCTCCCACATTCTGGCCTTGTGACCTGGGGCACATGGGGTGCTGGCCTGGGGGTGGGATGCCTTCCTGGAATGCTACAGAGCTTTTTATGTGAGGGGGCTCTATGGTCAAATATTTTAGACTTCATGGGCTGTACTGTCTCTGTTGCAATCACTCAACACTGCCTTTGTAGTCCAAAAGCAGCCAAAGACAATCTGTAAATGAGTTGGCCTGATTGTGTTCCAGTAGAACTTAATGTATGTAAATAGGCCATGGTTTGTAGACCTCTGCTCGGGAGCGGCATGTCCCGAACTTCAGACATTCACAAACTGTACTCAGTCTCTGTACCGTATTGTTTGTTCCACTGTATGGCACTGTTACAGTTTTTATCCCACCTCTACTATAAAGTACTAGATTTTTTAAAAGTTTTTTTAAACTAAATACATTTATTTTTAAAGGAAATTTCATATCAATACTCTAATTGGAAAATGGGTATTGTTTGCATGAAATGAAGGTAATTCTAAACAGAAATGCTAGAAAAAAAAAGAGTTACTGAAATCTTACTAGATTCTGTCACCCATCGAAGGCATGGAGCGACAGGTGTGCCCTTTTTTTGTTTTAATGTAGGTGGCAAGGGGGCATAAAGGCACCACGTGTGGGAGGCTTTCCCCTGAAAGGGATTGTGTGGACTGGAGTGTCTCTGTGTCCTGGAGCTGCTCGCTGCACCTCTGGATGTTTGCAGAGCCGGAGGCTGTCTGCCGGCCCTGCCACCTTGGGCAGAGCCTGGTGATAAGGCAGGGCCACCGGGTGCTAGAAGCCTGTCATGACTGGAGAGCGCACTGCTCATTTCGGCTTTGCTTTCTATCTAAAAAAAGTACTAAACTTTAAATTTTTAGTTATCTATACCTAAAAATTACATGCAGTGGTAAGAAGTAATACAGAGAGAAGTGTGTACCCTTTACCCAGTTTCCCACGTAGGTCTTGTCTTCTGAAACTGCAGTGTGACCTCACAGCCAAGCAGTCCATGGGGCTTGTTCCGATTTCCCCAGTTTTGTATGTACGTATCTGGGGCGTGTGGGTGTGCGTATTTTGTTGTATATAATTTTATCACATGGTGAGGTCACACAGTCAAGAAACAAAATTCCATCACCCTTTTCACTTTTAGGATATCTTGTGTTGCCTTTTTATAACCATGGCCATCTTCCTCCTGCCTCTGTGCTCCCTTCGCCCTCCTGTCCTTGACCCTTGGCAACTACTGATCTGTTCTTGAATGTCTAAAACTTTCTCATTTCAAAAATATTTTCTAAATTGCATCATACAGTATATAAGATGTTGGGATTGGCTTTTTCCCAGGTAGCGAAATTCATCTGAGTGCTGCAGAGTACCAGTGCATACTTTTGAGGGCTGAGTAGTATTCCACAGGATGGTGCATCAGAGTCTGTAGAGCCTTTCACCCGCTGTTGGAAAGCTGGGTTGTTTCCAGGTTTTGGCTATAATGAATAAAGCTGCTTTGAACATTTCTAGACAGGTTTTTGTGTGAATATAAGTGTTTATTTCTGTGGGATTAATGCCCAGGGGTACAATTGCTGGGTTATATGGCAATCATATGTTCAGGTCTGTAAGAAATTAACAAACTGTTTTTTAGAGTGTTTCCATTTTACATTCCTACCAGCAATTTTTGATTGACCTGTGGTCTCCACATCCTTGCCAGCATTTGGTGTTTTACTATTTTTATTTTAGCAATTCTGATAGATGTATAGTGATATCATTATTTTTATATCTTATTATTTAAGTTTGCATTTCTGTAATGGCTAATGATGTTGAACATCTTTGCATGTGCTTATTTGCCATCTGTATATCCTCTTGGGTGAAATGATCGTTCGAGTCTTTTGACTATTTTTTTCCTTTTTCATTAATATCATAATAGGAACTTTAAAATGAAGATTAATCACAATAGATTCTAATCCGTAAAATAGAAAGCATAAGCAGAAGAGGATGCTATTTACAACCACAGTCTTCTGCATCTTTCAACACAGAAATATTGTAAGAGAGAAACTAGATTTAGATGGCTGATTGTTGGCTATTTTCTAATTGCATTATTTTTAACTGTTAGGTTACAAAATTATAACAGCTTTATTGAGGTATAATTCACATATCATTGTGAATTGTATGGCATGTGAGTTACGCCTCAATAAAGCACACAAGTCAGTGGCTTGTTGTGTGTTCCCAGAGTTCTACACAATCACCACTAACTCCGGAGCGTGTTTATCATCCGCAGAAGAAACTCTGTATTAATTAGCAGTCACTGTCCACCACCACTCTTTCTGGCTCCTGTTTCTAGCTTCTAACCACAGATCGACTTTGTGTCTCATGGAGTTTCCTGGGGTGGACATTTCACAGCGATGGAATGATATTCTGTGGCCTTTTGTGTCTGGCGTTCTTCACCTATAAACTGTTTTCAACATTCATCTGTGTTGTAGTGGGTATTGGCTCCTCATTCCTTTCTATAGCTGAAGGATATTCCATTGTATGGATCTCACATTTTTTTTATTCACTTGTCAGTTGATAGACATTTTGGTTGTTTCCATCTTGGGGTTTTTACGAAGAATGCTGCTATTAAAATTAGGGTGGGCTTATGTTTTTATTTCTCTTGGATATATTCTTAGAGTGGAATTCTGGGTCTTATGGTAAGTAACCCTATGTGTGGCCTTTCGAGGAACTGCCAGACTTTTCCAGAATTTTCCAGACTTTTCCAGACTTTACCATTTTGCGTTCCCACCAGCAGCCTAAGTGGATCCTGATTTTTCTACACTGTCACTTGTTGTCTGTCTTTTTGATTCTAGCCATTAGTGCGTGTAAAGTGGTATTTCATCGTGGTTTTGATTACTATTGAGTTTTAAGAGTTTTTAAAAATATCTTTTAGATAGGAGTCCTTTGTCAGAATTCCAACTATCAGTTTTTCATTTATGGATTGCTTTTTGGTATCAGGCCTAAGAACTCTTTGCTTCAGCTTTGTTTTTTATACTGACCAGCAGCTTTCATTTGAAGAGAAAGTCCTCATTAATCAGCTCCCCAAATCCAGGTCTGCCTCAGTCCTTCTTCCAGTCAAGGACAGAGCTGCTGGATGGTGACTGTGGTGGGGGGTGGGGAGAACGACAGAAAGAGACCAGGAGTTCGGACACCCACACTCCTTCCTGTGGCACCGAGAAGGCTTCTCTGACTCCTGCCCCGGCCTGTTTCTCTTCCAGACCCTGGAGGAGGAGCTGTTTGGGAACAATGAGGAGAGCCCAGCTTTCAAGGAGTTTTTGGAACTGCTGGGGGACACGATCACCCTGCAGGACTTTAAAGGGTAGGTTTCAGCCACGTGATACCTCCGGCCCCATGGACAGGACCTGGGAGGAAGGGTGAAGGGAGATAGCTGAGTTTCAGGGAGGGCGTATGACAGTTCAAAACACACCCAAGAACCATGAGATTGTTTCTCAGCAAATGATCAACACTCCCTCTGAAGGAGACCGTGGTCCGGGGGTCAGCCAGCACGGCAGGGCATCTGAAAGGCAGTGATGTCTGGCCTTGGGTGCACGGTGAAACTGCTCCACATCTGCTTTGCCTTCCGCATCACATTTGGCTCAGACTGAGAGTGAAATGAATCTACCTTCCCTATCACTCACCTGCCGGGCATCCAGGAAAGATGGCCCCGTGCTGTTGGGGGGAAATGACCCATTTTAGATGATATGCGAAAAGAAGGGATAATTAAGAGTTGGTAGAAATATAATAAACACCCTGGCAGGAATCTATGCAACAGTCTATGGTTCTCTAAGTGGACAGAAAGAATCTTAGACCCAATCCTTGGAAAACTCTGACCTCTGATATTCCTTGGCAAAGGCAGCATTTGGGAGGGGCTTGCCCCCTGGGCCAGACTGCTGTGCTTCATGGCTAGAACAGGACAGAGCCCTCCACCCCCACTCCAGCAGCCAAGTTAATAGGATCTCCCGGTGTGTGTGCAGACACACAGCTCCATGCCTGTCAGGTAGTAGATGTTCAGTGATCACTTCCTTCACCTGCGTCCTTTTCTTCCTCTGTCTTCCTTCCCTTCATGGTCATCACTGCTGCCTAGAGTCTGTCACACATGGAGTTCCCCCTCCACCACCTGTTAGCTCTATGACTTTGGGCAAGTGACTTAACCTCTGCAAGCCTTAGTCTCCTCATGTCTGAAAAGGGAGGTAAAGGTAGCAGTGGCCCCATAGGTTGTTGGTGTTAAACTAGGTAATGCTTGTGAAGCACTTAAGTGAGTGCTGAGCACAGAGGAAGCACTGGGCGTCATTACTGTTAGTTATTATACCACCTTCCCTAAACTCTGAGATGCCATCTTTGTGAGATGCATCCTGTTTCATGGGTATTAAAGTGTGAAAAAAATGTGTCTTAGAACAGATGAAATGATGAAAACCAGGAAGGGCCCTGGCTGGTGTGGCTCAGTTGGTTGGAGCATTGTCCCCTAGCTGAAGGGTTGTGGGTTCGACTCCTAGTCAGGGTGTGTGTCTTGGTTGCAGGTTTGATCCCCAGTCCAGGCACATATGGGAGGCAGCCAATCAATGCTTCTCTCTCTCCTTTCTTCTCTCTCTCTCTCTTTAAAAAAATAAGGCGATGAAAAAAAATGACCTTGGGTGAGAATTAAAAAAAAAACAAGCAAAAAACAACAGCAGGGAGGACTTCAGAGATCATATCATCCTATCCCTTTATTTCACAGAGAGAGGAAACTGAGGCCTGGGGAGATTGAGTTGATATGCCCAAAGTCATGTGCTGACTTAGGGGTAGAAGCAGGTCTAGAACCTGGAGCTCCTGCCTCCCAGCCAAGTGTACTTTCTGCCACACCGGGCTGAGCACATTTTCTGGATCGGTGTAGTACAGTGTTTGGGGAGGCTGATGTCCAGGGTCTATTTTATTCCATTTTCTTAAAGGCACCTACATCCTCCTCTTCATGCTGAAAAATATGATCCATGGCTAGCAGCCCTATTTCCATAGAGAACAAAGGGGCAGCTCCCAGAACCCCACCGAGTTCCTTAGTTTCCTTCCTGCCTGCGAGGAGATAGCCAGGGAAGGGACTCTGTGGACATCTCTGGGGTTGGGTCTCCACATCAGGCACTGGCTGGGCAGAAGTCAAGCATCTGTCACCCCTTCAGGCTGATTTTGGATGCTTCTGGGGGGCTCACCATCATCCAACAGGATGGCTGGTTGTCCTGGCCCTGGGCAGAGGATTTGGACATGACCTTGCAGAGAGCAAAGGTTTGTGCCCAGCCTTGGGAGCCACTGGCACTGGGGACAGCATTTGTCCAGAGTCGTGGGTAGATGATCTCCTTTCCCACATGACCCTTGGAATAGAGATTCTGCCTTTGTCTTTTAAATGTGGGTTTACCAGGGCTTGTCTGCTCAGAAAAGCAGGTCTACCAGCACTCCCTCCCCCCATCCCCGTCTCAGCCCTCAGAGCTCCACATCCCTTCCTTCCTTCACCTGTCCCCATGTTCTCAGGGCAGGGTAAGCCAGGTTGCCCACTCACCCTCACTCTTTCTCTCTGTGGTGCTTGCCCTGTTTTTTTACTGACAGTTTCCGAGGAGGCCTGGATGTGACCCACGGACAGACGGGGGCGGAGTCAGTGTACACGATATTTCGGGACAGGGAGATCATGTTTCACGTCTCCACAAAGCTGCCCTTTACCGAGGGAGACGCCCAGCAGGTAACCTGGGCTGGGAGGGCTCTGGGAGCCTGGGGCGTGCGAGGTGAAAGCCTGCTTCTGGTCCCTGGGCCGACCTACCTGAAGGACTGCGCCGCCCCTTTGCCCTTCTCCCTTTCATAATCAAGAGGCCAGTCTGTTCACTGTGCTCTCGTCTGACCCTGTTCTATCGCGTTATCTCATCTCACCCAGGCCGCGCGTCAGTGCTGCTGACGTTTGCCGGGACAGCGGGGCTCGTGGTTACGCGTATGCTTTGGCCACGGGGAAGCTGCAGCTTGGCGTGGTGAAAAGACTGTTTCCCAGCTGAATGGGGCAGAGCTGGGAGCAGAGCCCAGGTGCCCTGGTCACGTGGGATGTGGTGAAGCGCGCGGGATGGGTCTGCAGATGGCAGCTTGATGCCAGCCCTGCACTTTAGGAGCATGAGATTCTGGGCAAGAATCTTGTGGCCTCTTTTTTCTCATCTGCAAGGTGGGGATAGCGCCGTGTATGTCAGTGTGTTGTTGTGGACATCACCCATGGTGCCCATGAATGTAGGGCTTGGTGTGATGCCTGGCTGTGGCAGCCCTCCTGTCTAACAGCTGTGCACTATCCAGGCCACTAGGCTTTTGCCCTCCTTCCTGCCCCAGTGATGTGAAGCTGGTTATTTCAGGAGCCAGCCCTCACATCCCAGCTTTTCTTGTCTCCCAGCCTCCTCTCTCACTGCACGCTCCCATGGGCAGGAATCCAGCCTCTCTGCCTCAGCCGGGGAAACCTAGATGAGACCTCCATTTCCAGGGTTCTCCCGCTCACCCTCTTATCTGCTGCTTCTAATGGGTGCATGTCCCCAGGAAGGGCCTGGCTTTGTTCTTGCTGAGCCCTGAAGCCAGCAGCTGGCCCCTGACTGCCATACCATTTGTCCCATCCTGCTCTTTTCCCCCTTTCGGTCTCTAGGAAGATGAGAAGGGAAGGTGGGCCTTTCACCAGATGTTGACCCATCCGTTTCTGATCAGGGAACTGGGGAGGGAGCACAGATGTAATATTATAAACAGGGCTTGGCTTCTTTGGGGAAAAAAGAAAATTGGCAAATGGGACTGTGATTTGGCTCTAAAATAACTACTGAATGTTCTAGAAACAAATGGGAGCAGGATTCCTTTTGTATCCAAAGTAGGTTTTCTCTCAGTGTTTCACCTGCAGTCCCGTCCCCTCACGGCCCCCTCGCCCCCTGCCCAGCCCGGGGCTGAGGGCTGTCGTCTGCCTGGCTCTCTTTCAGTCTCACCTGTGCGAAGTGGGAAGTATATTGAGATTGGCTCTTGGCAAGAACTGAATAAATATTAATTTTCTCTTCCCAATAAATGGGATGATGTGTCTGGAATACATGAGACAATTTGTGTGAAGGGCACAGCACCGGGCTCTGTATATAGCAGGCGCTCAGTCAGTGAGGAACTCAAAGTGAAGCATAGGGTCTGCATGCAGTGGTGCTTAATAAAGGAACAAAAGCGTAAATGAGTGCCCACCCAGAACTTGGTGTGCGGGAGGGCCTTGACATTTGAAATCATTCATGTGAATAGCCCAGTGTGGCCCTGACACGCAGTAGGTGCTTGCTGATTGAAATCACCTGTGGAAGCACCTGGCACAGTTTGGGGCACTGAATCGGGGTTGGGTCTCTTCCTCCCCCATGACCTCGGCCGAGCCATGTTGCCCGTGTTTCTCTAAGCACGGCTCCTCTCCCCATTGATGTAGAATGATCGGCACCCCCATCCCTGCTTGTCCATATTTCATCAGGTGTCCCCCTCCATCTCTTCTTCCAGGAAGCTTTCTCAGATTACCGTCAGGCCTCTGACTTTGCCCTCTTCCCTCCCCTCTGCACCCCCCAGTGGCAGGCATTGTGTGTGAGGGGCTTTATTCCTGTTCTCAGGTGCCTTCGCCTGTGTTTGTGTTCTCCTGGATCAATCACAGGGTCCACTAGGACAAAACCTGGGCCTCAACTTTTAACCCTTCTCCCTGGGTCCCGAGTCAGAGCTCTGTACGCTGTAGAGCTCAGTGAGATGCTTGCCAGCCTCTCCCCAACAACTTGGGCAACTCCCCCATTTTTATTCTTTTTGATGGCTTCTAAAGATTAAAATAAAAAGCTCCCTGGAGGGTTAGGTCTCCAAGTGCCAGGGTTTATGTATAAAGATAGAATAATGAGGAATTTCCTGTATAGATCTATTCTGCTTTCAGGATGTTCCCAACTGGCTCATAACAATGAAACACTTTTTGTTTAGCTCCAGAGAAAGAGACACATTGGCAATGACATTGTGGCCATCATCTTCCAAGAAGAAAACACACCGTTTGTCCCAGACATGATTGCCTCCAACTTTTTACATGCCTACATCGTAGTGCAGGCTGAGAGCCCGGGCACGGAGACCCCGAACTACAAGGTAAGGGGACAGTCTCACTGGAGGAAGCGGCGACCTAGGCACCTCACGGCGCTTTATGGATTAAGTGATATCAGGAAGCGTGAGTTCTCAATGTTTCCTTGGGCCATTCTCCACGATGTCACTTCTAGGTTTGGTGTGATTGATTTTCCGTGGTTCTCAGGTTTCTGGGCTTTGGGGGCTGGACTCCTGATGGAGAGCACCCCCTGAGGGCCATCTCATCCATTGGGTCCCTCACCGCTTGACAGCGTCTGTCTGAAGGGTTGAGAAGCCCAGGTGCTCCTGTTTGGGATCTGGTAATGCCCCTTGCTAGAGTGAGGCAAAACCAGGGGGAAGGAAGGAAAAGTAGAGAGGACTGTCCGGGAAGGGAAAGAAAGGAGGGTGGTAACAAAGGAGAAAAAGAAACATTGGTGTTTATGGTGAAAAGCAGGGAGAGTAGGGTCCTGGTAGGCTCTGACCACGGGGTAGCCCCTCTGGTTCAGCTGTTCTGGAATAAACAGGCGATGTTAATTTGAAGACTTCCCGGGAGTGGGACCGTGGGTCTCAGCCCCCTGACCAACAAGCAGTCTTTCAGACAGGCTCAAAATCCTCAGCAATGCTGGGGAGCCCATCGTCCTCAGGAGCCTGCACCCCGCCCATCCTGATGGCTTGTCACCAACTCTCCCCTCCTCTTCTCCATGAGAAGTAATGCCAGCCTCTTGGGCAACAGTTTCTCTGCATCACAAATAGGCTGAAGCAGGGTTCCTAAGGTGGATGTTATATGGTCTTTGTACCCCTTGCAGATACATGTTGCGTTTATGTGCTTCTTTGCGTGTTCTAGGGGGAGAGGCCGTAGCTGAGGCTCTCGGAGGGCCGCCTGCTCCCCACAGTGTTAGGGACCACTGTTAGAGGGAGAGCAGGACCAGCCCGTCATGGCTGATGGGAAACTCAGGCCTGAAAACGTTTCCTGTGTGATAACGGGCCAGCGGTGGTTCTGGGGCTTACGGAGCCCTGGCGCTTCATGGCCATCTGCATCAAGTATCTGTTTGGCCTGAAGGTTTTGGGAAAGGAAATGATGTCATATAATTTTCATAGCTGTACAAACTCAGATATATTAAGTGCAAAGTTCACATCAACTTTAAATCCAAGTATGAGGCTTCAAAAAAAAATAAAAAGAAACAAAAACACACCCCACACCTCTCTCCTGTTTTTATGAAAGAGAGCTTATTTCTTTCTGTGCCCATGTTCATATTTATGTTTCTCTGTCACTGAGCAGTTTTAGCTGAAAAGTTAAGGGGAGCATTTCCTTGGCATTTTTCCTAGAGCATGGTTTGGGCATTTCCTTGAAGGCTACGGGCTCACCTGCTTTGACCAGAGCTGGCATTCATTTCAAACAGCTGTTGGGCTTGTTGGTAGAAGCATTTTGTTCATTCAGTGCCTCCTATGTGCCAGGGATGGGGCCCGTGGAAGTGACACAGGGAACCAGCCTGCAGGGAAGAGACCAAAGAGCCAGTGAGTGCAGTTCAGCCTCTGGGCCACCGAGGCAGCCAGCTGGTTCTTCCAACAGCCAGGAGAGGCAGAGAGCTATTGATCAGGACCCCCAAAGTAAATCGGTGTAATGGGGGGCCCCCTGACCCGGCCAGGCAGTCACGTACATGTGTGTGGCTTGTCTGCTGGGCCTCTGCTGGCAGAATGGGGCCTTTTGTGGATATTTAGCATTAGCTTTTAGTTTCTGATAGGGAATGGAGCTCAGCTAACTGGCTTCTCCACTTTCCCAGGAGCTTAGCAGTGTGGGACTATACAGGGAAAAATGAGAGGCGGACAAATCAGCACCCCACCTCCCGCTTTGATGTTAGAAGTCTTTACCGAGTCTTCCCAGCCACAGCATATGGTCCAGGTGAAAGCACTCTCCTGAGAGGTGTTGGAAAGCAGAGAAGTGGACGCCCAGAAAGAGCCAGGCTGTCCCTGGGATGTGGGACCTTGGGCTCCACCTGTCAGGAAAACATTGAGGTTGGAGGTTGAATGGGGACCAGGGAGGCAGGGGGCAGGGAGGGAGCCCAGTCTTCCAAGGTCTCCCCAAACCTATTCATCCACACCCCCAGCAGTAACTCTGGTGACCCAGGGGGACCTAGTTAGATCCCTCAGGGGGCCCAGGGTGAAAGAAGACCTTAGCTGACCCTCATAGGCTTAGAGGCTATGGAAAAGGAGGGTGGGGGAGGTTTCCCAGGGGGTCAGCAATGCCCTGGGAAGCCCCCACTGGGGAGGACAAACAATAGGAAAGGGAAGAGAAGGAAGGGAAGGGAAGGGAAGGGAAGGGAAGGGAAGGGAAGGGAAGGGAAGGGAAGGGAAGGGAAGGGAAGGGAAGGGAAGGGAAGGGAAGGGAAGGGAAGGGAAGGGAAGGGAAGGGAAGGGAAGGGAAGGGAAGGGAAGGGAAGGGAAGGGAAGGGAAGGGAAGGGAAGGGAAGGGAAGGGAAGGGAAGGGAAGGGAAGGGAAGGAGGGGTATAGGAAAGGGCCCTAGACCTAAAGTCTTGAGAACCCAGGGGTCTAGTTCTTGGCCTGCCTCTGACTGCTGTGTGTCCTTGGGCTAGTTTCTTCTCCCTCTGGGCTCCTGATTCTATTTGTGTGAGGTGAGGGAGCAGGACTAGACAGCCTCTGAGTTTCTTCCTGCCCTAAGATGTTGGGGAGCGGATGGAGGGGGAGTTGAGTGTGTGTGTGTGTGTGTGTGTGTGTATGTGCATGTGTGTGAGAGAGAGAGAGAGAGATGAAGATGTGGCTTGGGGGAACGCTGTAGTATTCCAGGTGTCCTTTATTGGGTGTATATTAGTAGAGAAAGTAAAAAAAAAAAAAAGCCCTGGGTGACAGTGGTTGCCCCTCCCTGGGCGCTGGCTCCATACCAGGCACTGTGTTAGGCCCTTAAAAACACAGTCTTTTTCAATCTTCACAAGCTCCTGGCCAGGCAGGGCCTTTCTTTAGCACTGGTTTAGGCAGAGAAATTCAGGACATTGAGGCAGAGAGCTCACGTCACTTAAGGCCTGAGGCCACAAAAGCGGTAGAGCTGGTGTCCTCGTTCAGATCTGCCTGTGGTGTCTGAGCCCTCACCAGGACTCCCTCCTCTCTCTGCCTGAGGTCACCCTGTCCCTGACCCTGACCCCTGAAGTCCTGCGAAGGTCTCAGGAGTCTTTTGTGAAGCAGATCAGAGGAGAGGGGCCCTGGCTCTGTCCCTCATCCCCTCACTGCTTATCCGTTGCTTGAGCAGCCTCTGTGGGTCTGTGAGGCTTCCAGGTCACACTGGCTTTGGGGGTCCTGCGAGGTTCCCCGTGTCCTGGTGCCTCCTCCTCATTACTCACATGCCCCCAGCCTCCTTCTTCTTTCCAGCCTCGAGTCTCTTCCCTGGTGATCTGCTGCCTCTCAGCCCTGCTCTGGCCCCTGCTGGGCGGCCTGTGCTGAGTTTAGAAAACAGGAAGGCCAGGCTGTGTCCAGGCAGCTTCTGCTTTCAGCCCAGCAACCCAACCATCCCCAAGAGGAGGGAACAACAAAGGCTCCGTGCTTTGCTGGAAAGGGGTCAGCAGAGGGAACACAATGGGGATAGAAGATGAATGGGGCTGTCACAAGAAAGGATCCTGTCCCCTGCTTGCGTGACTGCTGGGGTGGACGTGTCTGTCTGGGGCACTCGGTGGATTTAGAACATAGACAGACACTTCAGTCAGCACCGCCCACTGTGGTGCAGGCCGAGATGGGGGTGTCACGGTGGGAAGAGGGGAGGGCCGGGCCTGGCCTCTGGCCTTGTCCCAGACGGCAGCCGGTCTGGGGCCTTCCCGCCACCTTCTCCCCAGATGCTGGCTGTGGGTGGAATTCTTGAATGGTGCTATGGGTGCATGGTGGGTGGGGGTGGGGACCTGTATTTGATTGCTGGAACCAGCCAGAAATCACAGCAGCCAAACCTACCCTGGTTCCTGACTGTGGTCACTGCAGTCTGGGCCCTGCAGTCAGCTCATGCTCAGGCAGAGAGAGCCTTGAGCTGGGTATTGATCAGTCCTTTCCCCCTCCCTTCACCTCCAGATCCTGGCAGGGCCTTTCCTTGGCCTGGCTCTGAGCTGCCTGCTCACCCGTTCTGGCTGACTCTCAGCATCTGCCCTACTTCACAGGCCATGCAGCTGGCGGTGTGCCAGGGCCAGGCTCACGTCAGCGGCTGCCCGCCTGGGGAAGGGGGAGAGAGGGCAGAGTCCCCAGAGAGGCCTGCGGCCTCATGGGTTGAGAATGGTGAAACCAGGGCATCTGCATGCGGAGGGGAGATGGGGTGTGGGGCCTATCCCGGGCCAGGGAGACCTCACGCAGAACACCTTGGGGCTCTCACTCCATTCTTTCATGCCTCCACAGGCTGGCCAGAGGTGCACACGTTCCTCGCCCTCACCCCCCCCCCCCCAGCCTGGTACACCCCTCTGCAGCACACAGCACACCTCGACGTCCTCCACCCCCAATTGCCCGCCTGGGCCCTGCACTGTTAGTTCAAGCCTCACCCAGAGTGACTGACCCTGTGTGTGGGGTCAGGGCTTCCAAACACTAGTCCGCCCACTGCGCAGAAGCTCTCAGGCCCATTTAACAGCTGCAGATTCCTGGCTCTGCCTCAGAGCTGCGGATTCAGGAGGCTTGGGGTGGAGCCCATGCAGTTGGCATTTGTTTGGGAGTCAGTGTCGTGGGGAGGAACCCAAGAGCAGCGTCTGGATTCTCTGTTCATCTGTGTGGCTAATCACCTGGGTGCTTTGGGGACCACTTCAAGGCTCTGGGCATCTGTTTCCTGATCAGTGAAGCAGGGCTAATAATTCTCACTGTGCCTTCTCCGGAGGCTGAGCATCCCAATCCACTGCGATCACGAGATAATCCACTTGTACTTCGCTAGAGTTAGGGTCCCAGGCTGCTCCTCAGCCTGTTAGTCATCTTGTCAGACTTGCTTCTGGCCTCCAGCGGTACAGATGGGAGCATGGGGACAGTCCCATGCCACCCAGCCTCACTTCTGGGAACTCCGCAATGCTGGTGAGGGCTCACAGGGGCAAGTGGGGAGGGAGGAGAGGAGATCTGTCACGGGAAGCAGGGCTCCCCTAGGGTCAGGGCAGGGCACACGTGGAGTGCATGATAGCCCTTGGGTTGGGTCTCTTCCCTCCTCACCCACACGGAGACCCTGTTTCAGGTCTCGGTCACTGCGCGGGAAGATGTGCCTGCCTTCGGTCCACCTCTGCCCAGCCCTCCTGTTTTCCAGAAGGTAAGACGCTCTCCTTCCTGCTCCTCTCATGTCCAAGACTCTGGGTTCCCACCCCTGAATGGCAGTGGGAGAAGTGGGGCTGAGTCTGGGCAGGGAACATGAGCAGGGCCTTTGTCAGCAGGGGTGGAGATCTCCTTACATGGGGTCTCTCCTCACCTCTCCTCCTGCTGCCAGCCTGGCTTTGCACAGGGTCTCCGGTCAGGGTGCTTGAATTTCTGCTGAAAGAAGCATTTTTATATCATGCTAAAGTCCTGGGAGCTTTGGGCAAAAATTGCCTCCAGTCGTGGGAATGGCACCGTGGGTGTGGAGGGTCGATTTCCCAGGATCAGGGAAGCTGGCTTCCATGTTGGTATCTTAGTAGGTGGGTGTGGCCTGGGCTAAAAATGATCAAATGTCAGAGGGACTTTTCAGGGGCCCTCCTGGATCCCCTGTCCTGCCTTCCCATTACAAGGCTGAGAGAATTCTGGGCTTCTGGTCTGTTCCAGGGCCCGGAGTTCAGGGAGTTTCTGCTCACCAAGCTCACCAATGCAGAGAATGCTTGCTGCAAGTCGGACAAGTTTGCAAAGCTGGAGGTGAGAGCACGGTTTCCTCCCTCTGTCCTTCTGCTAGCCAGCTGCTGCCGGGGTCTCTGTTCCTGAGGCTGTTCAAAGCAGGGATCACTGTCTTTGCCCCTCTAAGCCTTAGTCCTGTGCTGATGTAGTAACTCAATTCTTGTGGAAACTAAGTACAAACGTCAGGTCTAGTCAACTATTCACCAATTGTTAATTGAGCACGTACTATGTGCCAGCCTCCCTTCTATTTCCTGGGTATAAATGAGAACTGGCTTCTGTCCTTAGAGAGCTCACAGGCTAGTGGGAGGAGCCATTAGCAGACAGGTACGATAAGTTTCCCAGCACTGGGCTGTGATGGAGGCCAGCAGGTGCTGTGACTGCCTGGGCCTATGGGGGACTAGGGTGGGTTCAGGGAAGGCTTCTTGGAGGAGGTGGCCCTTCCACTGCCAAACCTGGATATCTGATGAGCCTTTTGCCAGGAGGGAAGGGAAGGTGGTGTTATTTCGGGCATGGGAAACAGCAAGAGCAAAGAATCGGAGCAGATCAGAGCATGGCTCTGTGAGGGAGCTCCAGAGGGTTTGATGTGGCCTGAGAGAGGGTCTTATGGGGAATGGATGGTGGGGAGGGTGATGTTTGATGTGCACATTAGATGATTACTCTGCCAGTGGTGGGGAGGACACGGTGAAAGGTGGGGGCAGGAAGGGTGGCCACTTAGAAGCTATTACAGGAGTCCAAGGGACATGGCAACTTGCTTACACCAGGTGTGGGAGGAAATGATTTGGGGTCCATTAGGAAGACTTGATGGACTTCTATATAAAGGGAAGGTGGAAGTGGAATTGTGGGGTGGCATTTAGGCCTTCAGCTTGGGCTCTCTGCTGACATGGGGACCACTGGGAGATGAGCGGTCCGGACCTGCTGATCTGGAGGTGCCTGCAAAGACCCAGTTGCTGAAAGGGCTAGTTCTTGTCTGGGTGAATGGCGCCCCCTGGAGGTCGCATGTATTGCTCTGGAGGGACAAGGGGATGGAGAGTAGCAGTGGGCCATTGGGTGCATGGATGGGGAACTTGTGGTAGAGATAGGGACTGTGAGTCAGCAGGGTAGAGCTGGGAGGGTGGGATGGCCTGGGGAGAAGGAGCAGAGGGAAGAGAGCAGAGGGCTGGGTGTGTTGCAATATTCGTGAGGGTGGATCCCAGCCTGGCCCTAGGCCCTCACCATCACCAAGCTGCAGTTGGCCAGAATAGCAGCCCTCAGGCCAGGTGTCTGGAGCCCCCAGGGAGTGGGCACATCTCTGTTGTCAGTGCCAGCTCCACGACTCCACCCTCTTCCCTTGCAGGACCGGACGAGGGCTGCCCTCTTGGATAACCTTCATGATGAGCTTCATGCACGCACACAGGCCATGCTGGGACTGGGCCCAGAAGAGGACAAGTTTGAGAATGGGGGCCATGGGGGATTCCTGGAGTCTTTTAAGGTATGGACACAAGAGTGGCTGAGGATTGCTGTGGCAGGGAGGGTCTGGATGAACAAGGGAATAGGTCCCAGGTCCACATGACCCTAACCCAGGGCCTGAGTGCCAGCCAGAGGTGGCAGGACCAGCAGGGGCAGTGCAGGTGTTTGCAGAGGGCAGGGGCATCAGGAAGTGTGAGTGGCGGGAGCAGCCAACAGCGTCTGCTGCATCCTACACATTCTTCCATGATCTGAGTTATCTCTTCTTGGCCAGGAGGCTGACAAGTAGGGACGGGGAAAGAGCAGAGAGGAGCCAGTGCAAACCAAGTGCATTACTGCTTCTGTCTGCCTCCCTCTGTGGTCAGGGTGCCTGAGACAGAATGACAGGAGCAAGGACACAAGTCCTGGGTTTCTTCTGCAGCCAGTGTGGGGTACCGCAAGGATGTTTCCCAGCTGGCAGGGCACTGGAGGACCTGGTCAGGGCCAGTGTGATGGAGTTAGAGGCAAGTGCCCATGAACCTTGCAAAGGGGAGAACTTCCTAAGCAGAACGAGCTACTAAAAGAAGTAGTGAGCTCCCTGTCCCTGGAAGTATTCAAGCAGAGCTGGGACAGGCATGTCACTTGCATGGTATAAAAAGGCTCACTGTCACATGCTTGCCAAGTGCTTGCTGGTCCAGACAGCACTTACCTCCAGCATCTGATCTGAGTCTGGCTGTCACCCTGCAGCTGGCGCAATGGGTCTTGTTATTTCCACTCACACACAAGGGGTCAGGACAAGAGACCTCAGGACTGCTCAAAGCCTTGTACCTACTCAGAGGTAAAGCCTTGTTTTGGACCCAGGTTTTCTGGTCCATTGGTCAATGTTCTGCTGAATTGCCCTTTGCAGAATGATTTATAAAGCTCCCATTCTAGGGATAGCGTAGGGGGTGAAGGTTTGACCTGCCTATGTTAGAATCCCAGCTGTGTGATTCTGGGCACGGTCTTGAACATCTCGAAGCTTCAATTTTCTCATCAATGATGCATGGATGATAATGGGACCTCTGTCCTAGGGTTGTTGGGAGGATTCAGTGAAGTAGCCTGGAGGAGGCATGAGGCCCGGGACAACTAAATGCTCAGGGAAGGTGCTCACTGCTGTTACTGTCTTGTAGAGTGAACACTTAACATTCTTCTGTCCTCTGTGCCCCGTGGGTAAGGCTATTATTATGGGTATGGTTGTTTTGGTGTGATAATTCATACCCAGTTTTACTAATTATGAACATAATTTTACATGTGAGAAAACTGAGACTCAAAGAGACACAGCAATTTTTCCCAAGTCACCCAACAGATACCGGAGACAAGTCTGTGGCTGCCGCATTCCGAAGCCTGTGTTCCTAAGGACCACACGACACAGCCTCCGGGTTCCTGACTCAATTAAGATTCCACCCGGGCAAGCCTGGGGTCTGTCCCTTGCTGCCAGGCCAGACGCAGAGGGCAGGGCAGGGCCCCGCTGGCCCTGAGGGCCAGCTGCCAGGATTCCTCATGAGGGTGTGGACAGGAGCCGAGCTGCTTGTCCAGGCTGGTGGGAGATTCCTGGGGCATCTATTTCTGTCCTGATGGACAGTGGTGGCCAGGGTGAAACAGGAGAAATTGAGAGGTCAAAAGGCAAGGGGGCCAAGGGAGAAGAGGGCAGGGGAAGAGAGAGGGAGCCCGGCAGGGGATGGGGTGAAAGTGAGACCAGGTAAATAGGAAAACTGCTGGAGGCTCCATACCACATCACAAGCAAGCCTGTGGAGTGCTCCCTGGTCCCACGGTAAATGTGACTTATGTGCGATGTGAGCTATAGTGGACTGCAGACGTCTAAGGAAACAGTGGTTGCATTCAGTTTTGTAGGTTGCTTTCTGTACTTTGGAGTTAACAATTTTGTGTTTTCACGTTTACAATATTTTTACAACCTGAAAAAGCTTGCAGACTCTGGACACTTGGCCCATGGTGCCCTGTGGATAAAACGGCCCAGCATCTCCCTCCAGTTGTGGGTCCAAAGGGGAGTGACCCGAGGCCGAGTTCCAGTCCCTGCCCCTGGACCGACTCCAGCGTGTCTGACTGGAGTAGTTGCCAAAAGAGGGAGATGCTTCAGGACTTTGTCATTACTTGTCTTTGACCCGGTAATCCAGGCTGTTTTTCTTTTCAACCCTGAGCCCTTCCAGCTGTAGGCTGAAGACACCTGCTTCTACATTTGGCTTCCATGCCTGTGTCCCAGGGGACGCTATGGGGCAAGGGACGGGACTGCCCTGGTCTGTGGGGTTTATCGCACAGAGCAAACCTTCAGAGCTCTGTGGTCATGAGCAGCTCTTTCCCTCCCCGCTGAGGAACCGAGCTCTCTTGCCCCTTCCATTCCATTGTTGCCTTCAGGTGTCCCAGGCAGTGGAGGTGGGGCCGGAGGCTGGGATTCTGGTGTTTGGGCTGTGCCGGGGCCTGGGGTCTGCCCCGACTCAGGAAACTGTCTCCAGTTTTGGTATTTCTTCCTAGGCACCTTGGGTGGTGCTGTGGTATCAGAATTATTGACATTCCTCTTGGGGTTTCTTATCCAGACTTCCACAAAATCCTTCTTACAAGAAGTGGTGCTTGAAATGACTCCAGGAAGAAAATTTGCATGTTTTCTCTTCTTCCTGTCCCGGTTCTCATCTCACAGGTGCATGGGAACATACCTGAGGGTTCCCAGGGCTTAAAGCACTCTCAGCTGTCCTCCCCCACCCTGCAGTGCAGGGACCCTTTGCCCCCCTGCTGGGAAGCAGCCCCTCACGGCCCCAGCCTGTGCTCCTGTCTCCTCCCACCACTGGGAATAGCTCTTCTCCCCATATGGCTTCCGTTCCCCTGGCTGTTCCATTCCCCAGCATTTCTTCATGAGAAACAGAACAGTTGGTTTATGCACAACTGGACCTGCTTCTGAGCAGGTGCTTGGTGGTATTCTCAAGAACCTGCCAGTTCTACACTTTTAAGTTTTGCATTTTTACTTAGTGGGTGACATAAAAAATATATTTCCAGTCTTAGAGACTAAACTTCTGCAGTGAAACTCACAATTGAAATACATGAGTAAGTAGGCAGGTTGCATTGGGGTCGGGGGGCGTCTATGGACATATTTCTGGAGTCTTGCCAGAATATTTTTCTTTATAAGGGATCTATATATTACTCACATTGGAAAAATACTGATCTCTAGACTGTTGTTCTTAAATGCTACTCTCAGCCACTGCCAGCTGTTGAAGCTTTTGTTGGTCCCTCATGAAATGAACAGAAAAAGTGATGCTGCTTGAGGTTCCAACATAAAGCCCGTGTGAGGCACATTTTGAGAAGCTCTGAGCTAGCCCAGCTCTCTGTTCAACTCATCACGCAGTGGGGCACTAGTGGGCCTGGGAGGTGAAGGTCACCCAGCAGCTTGCGAACTTGGACCACCTAAAGCAGGGAGCTGTCAGGTGAATTTCTCCCAGCCTTTGTGGGCTGTGGATGTTGATGTGTGGGTCTGCCCTGACCCCTAGTGGCAGGAGAGGAGCACCAGGCTGCAGCTATCTGGGCAGAGTACCTGCAGGCAGGCCTGGGTGCTGGGAACAATGGTCTTGTTACAGAACAGAGGTCCGAGGGGCAATATTTGACCCACACAGGGATGCCAAAAACTGTTACAGAACAAGCAGGGGCCAAGGTTCATTATGTCCACTGCCAGAGGAAAGATGTCTCTCAATGCCAGAGATTTGTGGAAAGGAAAGGTTTATTTAAAGCTGTACAGACTTAAAGTAGTGACCCAATGTCCCCATTAAAACATCAAAGTCTTTTTGGATACCCACAGACGCCTCCAGTGCCTCCTTTTCCCCCTGCCCTAATTCAGGAAAAGAAGCACACATCCGTGTTTCTGGTTGCTGGCGCCGTCAGCTGTGTCGCCGTCCAGGCAGGATCTCTAATTACTCCAAAGCCATGTGGCACCTTCTCATGGTCTACTGGCAAGAGTTCTTTCACCCTTCTTCCAGACAGAGTCTCTCCTGCTTTCCAGGCCACAGGGCCAAAGGGAGCTTTCCGAAGCTGCATGGTCTTCTTCTACCAGAGCTGCAGAGGTCTGCACTCTGGCCAAAAAACCACATGGTTCTTTACTCCACCAGAGCTATGGGGCGCAGGGCGCCACTCTGCCAAAGCCAAGTGATTCTCTGCTAAAGCCACATGGTGGTCCCTCCTACTAAAGCTGCAGAGGTCCCCACTCTGGCAAAGCTGTGTGGCTCTCTCTCCTTCACATGGCTGCAGGGGTCCCCACTCTGGCCAAAAGCATGTGGCATTCTCTCCTGCACTGCCACAGCCGCGTGGTTCCCTCTCTTTTAATGGCTACCGTGTCTGGGTTTTAAATCCCTGTGCTAGTCCCCCCCTTTGCAGCCCCATTTCTGACTCCTCCTACAATTGGCTCCACTTGCCAGCACTCCCATATCCTTCCAACTTTACTGGGCTGCCATAGTGAGTCTGGGCAGGTGTGCCCCATGTCCTGGAGCCAATCATCTCTAAGCTCTCACGCAGGTGCTGTAATTCAGAGAACCTGCCCCCAGTTACATCTTGAGTGGAAGTGACTTCCATTCCCCTGGCTCAGAGCAGGGCCACAGCTATTTAACATATCTATGCAACCGGTTAAAGGTTATAGATATGTTAAATGACCATGGCAGAGGTTAGCTGCAAAGCTGTTGCTGTACAAAACAGCTCTCAATGGCTGCTCCATTTGTCCCTTCCTCAACTCACACCTGTGGGGTGGGGGGAAGAGGTGAGGACATCTTAATATTTCCTGGACACCTTGAGTTCTGAGCCTCATTCCAAATCCCTTTTTGGGGCCCCCCTCTTTGCTGCGTCCTGTCACAGTCTGAGTTGGCTTCCCTCCTGTATTTGTGCTGTTAGTGGGAAAGAAGACCCCGGTTTGGACCTCAGAGAACTTACTGATTAGGCCCATCACATCCGGCAAGAAATTAGCATCTTTCTCTCCCAGGGCCCCCTGCCTCTATGCCCCAGGGGTGTCTGTGAATGTGGCCCAACACAAAATAGTACATTTACATAAAACATTATGAGATTTTTTTGGTGATTACATGTTGCAATGTATTTAATGTGTGGCCCAAGACAACTCTTCTTCTTCCAGTGTGGCCCAGAGATGCCAGAGGGCTGGACAGCCCTGCTAGGGCTTCCTTACCTGGTCCAGACAGGCACATGTCCCCCTCGGTGATCATCCTCATGCACTGGGTCCCTCGAGTTGAATCTGCTAAATTGAAACAGCTCACGAAACCCATTTGTAAGGAAGCGAGGTTTGTGTTGGCCCGGAGGACACGTGCTCCTTTCATGACACCAGTTGGTCCTCATACCCCGGCTGAAATGAGGTGGCTTCAAGCCCTCCATGAGAAAGTGCTCCGCCCCTTTTCCTTGTTCCCCCAGAGGAGAGCGCACTCATGGGTAAGCTGCGAGGTGCGCCGAGGGCTGGGACGCCACGGTGGCCGAGGGTGGGTGACAGAGCCAGAGTTGATTAGCCAGGAGGCGAGCAGACTCTAAGGACAGACGCGGGCAGTTGCGTGCAGCGTGGAGTGAACGGGTCTAAGACGCCAGCCCTAGAAATGGTGGGATTTCCTCTCAGGGCACAGAAGACCTTTTCAGGAGCCTGACTCTTCCCCATTGGACAGGAAGCCTTGAAAGCAGTGAGCAACCTGTCCCTGGGACATGCAAGTGGAGAGGATGTGCTGTGGCCTGGATGCACGGGGGCTGAGTGGGGGAGGGCCAGGTGGTCCCTGGCAAAGGCTCCGTGTGCCCGTCCGCTTCTCTCCTACCCCCTTCTTTCCACATCGCCGCCCTCGTTCTCTTCTCCGCCTGGTACCTGACTCTTGGGCCCAACTTGAGAAGGCTGGTGTGCCCAGCTCTGCCCCAGATGGAATATGCAACACGTCAGACCACATCACTGGGTCATTTTGTCCAAGTGGAGCATCATTACTTTAGGGTTTCCAGGTAGCCATCCCTGCTCTCTTTTTCCATCCCTCATAGTGGGGAGAGAGAGGACCTTGGGCAAGCAGGCGTCATGCCAGGTATTTGTCACCCTCACACAGGGAGTGTCGTCATGTTGTACAGATGAGGAAACTGTGTCTCGGAGAGGTTCACACACTGTGCTGGGAGCAAGCAGGGTTCGGCCCTACACACTCCTGAGTTCCCTGTCAGCCCACTGCCTCATTCACTCAACAGCACCAAGGGCACATGAGGAGAACACTCCTCCCGGACATCAGTCTAGTTTCTTTCAAAGGGAGGCTGGGGCCCCATGGTTTCTAGTTACCTTCAGTCCATCAACCAGTTGAAATATGTGTTTGATCTGGACTCATTTTTGGGTTACTGGGACCCTTTCATCAAGAACCCAGGGTGCTGGGTTTGGGTCCTGGGTCCATCTCTTAGCTTTGGTGTGACCTCGGTCCATCACTTACCTTTCAGGACCTTGCTTCTCAGCGTTGGTCCTCTGTGCATCTGAGTTGGGAGGTCTCAGTGGGATCATGCATGTGAAGCTCAGCAGACCAGACACCAGCACACGGGGCTCATTCCACCTGTTTAGTTTTTCCTAGAAAAAGACAGATCACATCTGAACATACATGATTCATAGCCGTGGCACAGTTGATGACAATGGTGGTGACACACACGAGGGCCCCAGGGACTTATTGAGCTTGATGGAGCACTGGACTCATTTAAGGAAACTGGGCGTTTACCCAAGGACACCTCAGCACGGTGCCACACCTTTCCCGCCCTCGGCTTTGCCAGGCCTCTGTGGTGTTCGGGTGGCGGCGTGAACACGGCGTGCCGGCTGTTCCAACCACATGGTGGGAGACCGTCGCTAGGACACTCTCTTCTGTGGTCTAGAAAGAGAGTTGATGCCCCGGAGCGGGCGTCTTTGGCTCAGACAGGCCAGGCCAGAGGAGTGACAAGGCCGGTGGGCTCCGTGCCTCATTCAAGGGGAGCTTGTTTCCAGCACAGTCAGATTTACAAGCGGCCCTCCTTCCTGAGCCAGCTCCCCTCTTCGGGGCAGAAAGGCAGGCAAGGTGTGGTCCTTGGCCATTCCTGAACTTGGAGGATTCAGGACCTGCTGTTTGGGTTGGGGCAGCGTTCTTGCCGATTTCTTGGGACTATCTTTTTGTAGGCCAGGCCAGGCCCTTCCCTCGATGCTTCAAGGGAGGGAAGGGCAGCATCCCCCATGGGACCATCTGTAGCCTGACACGTGGAGTGTGCATGCAGACGCATGTGTGTTCACGTGTGGGTGTGAGCCAAGTGAGGATGGGAGCCGTGCCCACACGTTTGTCCCTCTGCATCTGTTTTCTGAAGCTGCGGTTCTAAGAACGCTCTGCCTCAAGCGGCTCATGCAGTGAGGGAAATCTGTCAGCTCGCCTGACCAGAAGGCCCCAGGGGACTCGCGGCCCAGCCTGGTCATGGGCAGGCAGGTCCCTGTGAGTTCCCCTCTGCCATCCCCCAGAGGACTAAACTAACTAAACTAACGAAACTAACTAAATTGTTAGTTTCGTCCTCAGGCTTCATCCCTCACTGCTCAAGGTGGTAGCTGCGGCTCTAGGTACAGACATATCATATCTCTTTAGGGAAACACTGGGGAACTTTCCTCAAAGCTGCCAGCAGGTGTCCCTTCATGTTCCGCTGGCATGGATTACGTGACTGCCATAGAAGGTCATGGTTGACTCCTTTGTTCTGTGGAGGAAGAGGGGCCACTGGACCAGACAGAGGCTCTGGTAGCCAGCAAGGAACAGGATGGGATGGCACTTGTTTGCAGGCAACTAGTAATATTTGCATCCAAGAGTCCCTGCGTGTGGCTCTGAGGCCCAGGGGCCCTGGACAGTGAGTTAACACAGCGGGAGCACCCCAGGGGCCCGGGCCCTTTACCGCTGCGTACTTTTAGGAATGTCCTGTTTCCCCCGCTGATGTGCATACTCCTGGGAGGCAGGGCTGTGTCTCACACCCCTCTGACTCCCCTCCTGCAGTTCTCCCAGCGTGTGGCATGGTGCTGAGCACACGGGAAGCACATGGCAAGTGCTTGTTATTAACAGTAAGAGTAGCCACAACTATTGGGTACGTAGGGTGTGCTGGGCTCTCAGCTTTGTATGCATGGCCGCCTGCCCGTATTATTGAGTGACTGAGTGAGTGACCAGAGGGAAGCGATGTGGGGTTTGGGGGTTCCTGGAGAGAAACTTCCCTTCCTAGAACTCTCGTGTCATCTTTGAACGCCTTCCGAACCGGGAGCATTGTCCTTGTGGTCGGTGGAATCCTCTAGGGCTTCCGGCGTTGGAAAGCCCTCCCTCAGCCCCAGCTGAGATCTGCCTACCTCACTCCACCCGCTCTCCTTGGGTCGGGTTCCAGGGCGAGGCAGGAGGCCCGCAGGGCAGCGTGAGAGCTGCCGTCACCCCCCAGGTCTGTCCCTGCTGTGGGCGCAGCAGTCTTCACTGTAACTGTCCCTCCTGTCCTTGCATGCACAGGGACAAGCCCCTGACTGTGCTGGTTGTCTTTTCTGGGACACTCCACTTTGTGCCCTATGCTCTTTGGTGGCCCTAAGTGGGCACAGGGCTCCGCGTGCCCTGAGCAGCTCTGGGCCCTCTGAGGCTCCAGCCTCGTGTCTGAGTGCGCACGACCTGTGTCGGCAGCTGAACCAGGTGGCAGGCTCATGTCGACAGTGCCCTTAGCCCCTGCGAGTGTGGGCGGTGGCTCAGGGCACGGATTGGGAGGAGCTCCAGCCACAGCTCACTGAGTTGTGCAAGGCACACTTTGGGGTGACAGCAGAAGGGATGCCCAGTGTTCAGATACAGGACGCCTGGTTTTCTGGAGACGAGTCGAGTTGGGGTGAAGGGTGTGGCTGCACGATGCTGCTTGGGCCTCATGGTTTCTGAGTTACAGCAAGGGAGCTGCAGCCCAGAGAGCCAGACCGGGTCGTGCCGCTTGGTGAGCTGTTCCAGCCACTTTCCTCCCTGTAATAAATAACCTTTGTCCACCTCGCAGGGGACCTGGGGCACTGACTGCTCAGACTCCCCTGGCTAGTGTCCCCCTTCACCTCTGCCTGCAGAGAGCCGCCCCTGCCCAGAGCAGGTGAAAATCCTCTGCAGATTCCAGGGATTAGAGTGGGGGCCGCTGAGGGAAAGAGGGTGTGTGTGCACAAGTGCACCCGTGCCCAGGGCTGTGTCTGCAGGGCCCCCTGAGAGGGCGGGGCGTTTGGAGGGGTCTAGCTCCCGCTCTCAGGCCCCGCCCCCTGTCTTCCCCACAGAGGGCCATCCGCGTGCGCAGCCACTCCATGGAGACTATGGTGAGCAGCCAGAAGAAGCCGCATGGCGGGGGTCTCCCCGGCAGCCTCAGCGGGGGCATCTCCCACAACAGCACGGAGGTCACCAAGACCACCTTCTCGGTGAGTGCCTGCACGCCCCAGGGTCCTCCGGGACGTGGTTGGGGAGGGGTGTGTTCGCCAGGCTTGGGCCAGGCGACTAGAGCAGGGTGAGTGTGATGATGGAGGGAAACCCAGGTGGACTGGGGGGCGGCCCCCTCTGAAATCAGAGCCTCTTCCTGGTCGGCACCTGGGCTGACCAGGACCAGAGTCCTGTGGTCCTGCTCCCTGGGTTCCTGACACCCAGGCCTCCCCCTCCCGGGCAGCCTGGCAAAGTGGTCCTAGGGTGCGTTTCTCCACCCGGGGCTCGGGACCGTGACTGAGAGAGAGGCATTCGTTGTTTGTTATTATCCAGGGTAGGAGTGGCTGCCCCTGCTTGCTGTGTGCTGGGCACTGAGCTGAGTAATTGGTGGACCCCAGTCCCAGCTGCCTGAGGCAGGAACGGCTGTGCTCCCCAGTTTATGTTTGAGCAAGAGAAGGCCCAGAGGGGTTAGGTAACTTGCTAGAGGTTGCCTGGCTCAGTTGAAGAACCGGGATTTGGATGCAAGTCGCCCAGATCCCAAGTCTTTGCTTTAAATCGCTGTGTGTACAGTTTCGAGAAAAAAGAGCCTGTGGGTCTGGGGGTTTGGGCCTAGTCAGCTTGCACCAGGAGTGGTGCATGTTAGGGTTTGGGTCAGTGCATGTTCGGCCTTTCTTTTTCTTTTCTGTAATAGCAGAACATACCTACCACAACACCAACAATTCCTATTATAAATGGCCTTGTGTCATTCATTTCATGTGCCAAATAGTATTTTCATAGCTATGACCTTGTTTTTCCCAGAAGGTCTGTGAGGTGAGTGGTCAGGGCAATGATCTTCAATCTGTGGATGACACTGAGGCCCGGAAACTTTCTCCCCTCGTCCAAGGTTGCACAGCATGCAAATGGCAAAAACTGGGGCCTGGGTTAGAGGCCTGGCAGGGCCTAAAGATGGGCCACAGGCCCCCCCCCTCCCCCTGCTCAGTCCTGCCTCCATCAGCCGCTGCACGTGGCAGAAGCAGAGCCATGTTCTTGGCAGGCCCCTTCTGCTGTGAGTGCGTGTGGACCTGACCCTGCCACTCTTGTTCTGTCTTGTTATTGTGACACCCAGCTTGGACCCATCTGTTTGCAAGCAGTGGCTAGAGAGTCAGGGGCTCTGAGTCCTTCTGCTTGTCCTGCCAGTGATTTGCTCTATGACCTTGACCAAATTCCCTGCCCTTCCACTCCGCAGCTTCCTCATCAGTAGAGCTAGGTAACTCCCCAGGCTCTCTCAGCTTTTCCCAGTCTGTGACCCCCGTGAATCATCCTGTCCTTCTCAATATGTGGGCTTCTCTTAGGGTGGCCCTGACCCCGAGTTACTCTAAGAATTCTGGTTGTTAGTGGATTGTTACCTGGGGCCATCAGTGTTGGGTTAAGAACACAGGAAAATGGGCTTTAAGTGGCATGAGCCTTGGGTTTCAGCTGCTGTTCCCTGGCTCCGGCCTTCCTGTCTGTTTCCTGGGGTCTCTCTAGACCAGTGGTGGGCAGGGTGCAGGGTGCAGGGGCCATTTGTAGACCAGAAAGGGGGATGCAGGGCAGGAGCTCTGGGTTTGGGGAGCGAGCACTCATTTTGGCGGTTTCATTGGCAGCCTCCAGTGGCAGTGGCGACTGCAAAGAACCAATCACGGAGCCCCATCAAGCGGCGGTCAGGCCTTTTCCCCCGTCTGCACACCGGCTCCGAAGGCCAAGGGGACAGCCGGACACGATGGTAACTGCCCAGTGTGGGTTTGGTCAGGTCCCTTGGGAGGGCCAGGTGCCGCTTTGGGAGATGGCGTCCTCCTGACCCTGGCCCCTCACCAGGTCCGGCATGCCCGCTGTCACTCACCAGCTCACCCACGGAGGCAACCCCTCGGTCCCAGTTGTTCTCATCGCATTTCACCCAAGCTGGGAATGTCACTTAGAGTGTTTGTTTCCCTTTTCAAAGCTTACTCAAACGTCCTTTTTATGGAAGCCTTCCCTGATTCTGCCAGACAGAGTTAATTGAACCTTCCTATGGGCTTCCAGCATGTTCTTCTTCTTCCTCCTCTTCCTTTTCCTCTTTCTTTTTTCATCTTCTTTTTTCTTCTTCTTTCTTTTAGCAACTCTCTCATATCATACTTATTCCATTCTTGCTAATTGCCTTTCTGATCCTTTAAATCGGTGAGCCCGTTTGCTGTTTGCATCAGCCAGCAGCATTCGGTGAGTGCCTGTCCCTTGGGGTGGGCTCTCTGCTTGGATCGGAGCTCCAGAAGCTTGTGGCCTTGTGCAGAAGGGAGGCACTTAGGTTGACTGCCAGTGTCCAAGTTGTCTGCCTGCAGCCCTGGAGGAGGCACCAGTCCTGAGCCTGGGCGTGCAGGATGAGGGGCAGGTCTGTGGAGGGGGACGGAGGGCTCTGCCTGGAACCTGTGCATGTGAGTGAGTCCTCATGGCCCACTCCGTGGAGAAATCCAGAACTCTCAGTGGTCAGAATCACTGTCTTGAGCTTGGGAGAGAGGCCATGGCTGGAGAAGGAGAGGTGGGAGTCACTGGCGTGGCAGTGGTAGTCCAGATGGGTCAATGAATCTGATTACCCAAGGGTGTGTGGAGAGGGCCTAGGAATACCAACACTTAAGGGCAAGTGGAGGAAGGAGAGAGAGAGCCAGTGAAAAAGACTGGCAGGGAAGGAATGTGGGAGAGGAGGAGGAGAGCCTGGGGAGGGGTGCGTGTCTCAGAAACTAGGGAGGAGCCGCTCCAGGAGGGAGGGTCAGCAGTTATCATTTGTGCAGAGAAGTCTGGCCCCGTGGCCCAAGCCCTTGCTTGGGTTGACAATGAGCAGTTCATTAGTGACCTCATTAGAAGTACATTGAGGCACCTCATGCCTCTAGGATGGTTATAATCAAAAAGACAAATCCTAAGTGTTGGCAAGGATGTCGAGAAATTGGCACCCTTGTGCATTGCCGGTGGGGCCGTAAACTAGCGCAGCTGCTTTGGGAACCAGTCTGGCAGATCCTCGGATCCAATGATCCTGCTTATGCAGCTACCGTAAGACCCAGCGATTCCGGTGCTCGGTGTTCACCCAAGGGGAAGAACACACATGTCTACACCAGCACCAGCACACGGGTGTCTGTAGCAGCATGGCTCATCATAGCCACAAGTGGGAACGGGCCCAATGCCGTCACTCAGTGAATGGATAAATAAAATGCGGTGCACCCCCAAATGGGATATTATCTTACAATAAAGAGGAACAGAGTATGGACTGATACAAGCTGCAGTGTGGACGAACCTTTAAACACTGTGCTCAGTGAAAGGAGCCACCGAAAAACAACCACACCATGTCATGTGATTCCATTTATACGAAACGTACAGAAGAGGCAAATCCATAGAAATAGAAAGCAGACTAGTGGTTGCCGGGAGCTGGCCAGGATTGTGTGTCTAGAATTTCTTTTGGGAGGATAGAAATGTTCTAAAATTAGATGGCAGTTGTAGTTGTGAATATACTAAAAAATCATTGACTGGTATGCTGTAAATGAGTGAATTGTATGTGGATTATATTGCCATGAATCTATTATAAGACTAAAAGTACTTTAAGGACAGGGCCGTCTTGTCCCCAACAGAGGGCGCAGAGCAAGTAGTGGGCAGTGGTACACGGTCGCCCTTAAACCGGAGGAGGAGGAAACCCTTGGGTGCCGGGCTGTGAGTAGCCCATTTACCCAGATGCCCTTCCCAGCCCTGAGGGCAGCCTCAGCCTGAGTGTCCAGGGAGCTTGTTCTGTAGTCTGTGTGAAGGGTGTGCCCGGAAGTTACTCGGCTGTGGCCCTGTCCGCACCCCGAGGGGCCCAGGTGCACTGGGTTGGTTCCTGACTGTGGTGGTGGATGTCCCAGACCCCACTCCATTCCCTCTGTGACGTAGAGCTCTGCCAGCTGGGTGCCCTGCCTGGGTGGGGGGTGGGCTCGGTGGCCTCAGGCCAGGACTCCTGCCTGGTAGCTTGTGACTCTCCCCCAGCAGCTTGCTGTAGCCCTCGCAGAGCAGAAAACCCCGCTGTCTGTCCCCCCCAGTCTCTGAGGGGCGCTTGGGTGGGAATGGAGATCCTGGTGGCCATGCTCTGTCAGGGAGTGCTGTGACCCCCACAGGTACCTCCATGGTACTGAGAGGGGGCTCTGTCTCGGGCCTGGGGGTGAGGTGGGGGTTGGGGGCCTCCCCCCTGACCTCACTCCTCTTCATCTTCATTTCCTCAGTGACAGTGCATCCAACAACCCCAAGGCTCTGGATGGCGGGCACTCTTCTCAGGAGATAAAGTCTGAGACCTCGTCCAATCCCAGCTCTCCAGAAATCTGCCCCAATAAGGAGAAGTAAGAGTGAGGGTCGGGGAGGGCAGCTGGTTTCAGCCCCTTGGAGCCCTGCGGTATGTCTCTGCTCCAGGCATCTCTCGCTCTGGGAACTCCTTGGAACACCAAAGCCAACAGCCAGGGCTGTGGGGGGCCACACGTGGGCACGCTCAGTCTGTGGGAGGCCTGCCTTGCCTGGAGTCCTGGCCTGTGACCAGGGCTTCCTTCCTGTCCCCTGCAGGTCCTTCATAAAGTTGAAGGAGAACGGCCGTGCCAACATCTCCCGCTCTTCCTCCAGTACCAGCAGCTTCAGCAGCACGGCAGGGGAGGGCGAGGCCTTGGAGGAGTGCGACAGTGGGGTAGGTGGGGCCCTGTCCAGCCCTGGGGGTGGGGAGTGCTGCAGTAGCTCCTGTGGGCAGAGCCCGGCCATCCTCTGGGGAAAAGGGGAAGTGTAGAAACAAGTGGTGGCCCGCGCAGCCTCTCCACCCTCTGGGAGCAGCGGTGCAGGGCGTCTCCCTGGAGTGACACAGGAGCAGCAGCAGAGGCTCAGAGGCCAGGCTGAGTGGTGTCCCGGCCATGGGGTTCTTGGCTGGGGAGGAGTGGGGTCAGTGCTCCATGGGCAGGGGTCTGGGCTCTTCCTGGTGGGCAGAGGGGAACCAGGGTTGGAGGCAGCAGCAGGGAAGAGCACGTCCCAGCAGGGAGCTGGGGGCAGGGGGCAGGGGGCAGGGGCAGCCCTGGGTCACTGGCCTCACTCACCTGGCCTCTCTCCCCAGAGCAGCCAGCCGTCCACCACCTCTCCCTTCAAGCAGGAGGTGTTTGTCTACAGCCCGTCCCCCAGCAGCGAGAGTCCCAGCCTGGGGACAGTCACCACTCCCATCATCATGAGCCGGAGTCCTACAGGTTGGTGGCATCTGATGGTGGCATCACGTGGTCAGGGCAGGGGGACTGTGCCTGACCCGTTTGTGGAACATGAGCCTCAGGCATATTGAACCGGCCAGTTTCTGCCCCGATCCGTGGGGTGCGGCCCAGAGCCCTGCCAGCTCCCTGCACCTGTTCCTCAGCCTAGAGAACCCGTGTGCTGTCCTCTCCTCACACACAGGGAGGCTGAAGCTCAGAAAGCTCAGTGATTTGCTGGAGGAGCTGGGATTGTGGGAGTCGAAAGCTGAGGTTCTTTCCACTGACCTCTCACTCCACCTCATCACTGACTCGGGGCCCCTCTGTGACAGTGGTGGTCCTCAGAATGCACAGGTGTGAGGTAGGGAGAGTGTTGCAGGTGGAGGGAACAGCACATGGAAAGTCCTGGTGAGACTGAGAGTCTGTGATCTGGAATTACACGTGGGTCAGTGTGGCTGGAGTTCAGCAAGGTGACAGGGGACAGATGAGAGGAGATCGTGGTTAGGAGACAAGACGGGGGCTGCCACAGAGCTCTGGTGAGCATTTGGACCTTATCCTGCAGGCAGTGGAAGCCATTGGGAAGACTTAAGACTTTGAAGGTTCTTAAGTAGAGAAATACCATGTGGAGTAGAGAAAGGCCACTTTGGTGGGTGCAGCTGGCTCAGTAGATAGGCTTGGTGGATGCAGGTTCGGGGAGAGAGATCAGCAAGGCTTACGGTGAGCGGTGAAGGGGATGGGCCATGGATCCGCTGGGTGCTGGAGCAATGGCAGGAACACGTGGATTCAGGAGATGCCAAGGAAGCAAAGACTTCCGGGCTTATAGTAGTGGGGTTTCAGGGAGAGCAAGGAGTCTGGGCTTTTTGGGCTTCTGTGATCCCTGCAGTTGGGCAGAGTAGGAGGAGCCAGCTCTGGGGATAGGGTGAAGGCTTGGCACCTGGGGGCATCACAGTGGGCGTGCACGGTAGGCACACTGGGTGCTGTGGGTGCTTAGAAATCAGAGCCTTGGGCCTGCCCCTGGGGAGGGCAGCGCAGTGTGGGGGCACAGGGCTCCAGAGCCTGGGTCTGCCACCTACTAGCAGCGTGACGTTGGTCAAGTTACTGAGCCTTTCTGTGCCTGTTTTCCCCACGCAAAAAAAAGGAGGGGGGGGGAATAGTTTCTACCTCATGGTTGTGTGAAGTGGAATGAGCTCACCTGTAAGAAACTTGCAGCTGTCAACCTACTTGTTTATGAAATAACAGGGACAGAGCACCAGTGTAATCAGGTCTCAGCAGGGAGTGGCCTTGCTCCCCAGGGCGCATCTGGCAGTGTCTGGACAAAATGTCTTTTCAGTGATCATGAGGACAGGAAAGGCTGCTGCTGAACCCTCATAGGCAGAGGGTGGAGACACTGCTCAGCGTCATACAGTGTACGGGACAGACCCCACAGCGAAGAGCTATCTGGCCCAAAAGGTCAATAGGCCGAGGTGAGGACACTCTGGACTAAGTGATGGAGACGTAGAAGCAGCCCGTGTGGGCGGTCCCTCTGGCCGGGCAGCTGCAGAGCTGGGCTGTCATCCTGGCTGCATGACTGATGCCCGCCTGTCTGAGCCTCCGGTCCTCACCTGTAAAGTGGGGCGGTCACGAAGATTCTCTGGTTTAAGAAAGTAAACCTAACTATTGAAGGAGAGAGGGAAAGAATACGTAACCAAGCTTGCCTCCTACTTGGCATTGTTAAAAGATTTTATGTATTTATTTTTAGAGAGAGGAAGGGAGGGAGAAAGAGAAGGAGCATCAGATTCTCACATGCCCCAACTGGGGGCCTGGCCTACAACCCAGGCATGTGCCCTGACTGGGAATTGAATCTGTGAGCTTTCATTTAGCAGGCTGGCTCTCAACCCACTGAACCACACCAGCCAGGGCCTACTTGGTATTAAATAAATATAAAAATAACCAAGGCTTTGAGTAAAGGGAAGTTTAGAGAGTATCTGTGACTTACTGAAGGCTACCCAGGGCAGAAGGGACATGGAACGGGCCCAGTAACCCCTGCCTGGTGTTTACTGAACCTCAGCCCCTCTCCCCACATAGTATGTCGCCCTGAGGGGTTGCCTTTCACCCTTGGCCCCAAGGAGTTCGTGCCAGGTACCTGCGGGCTCACTCTGGCCCTGCAGAGATCTGGAAACCTGTTTTAGGCTGTTCGGCTGCAACTGAGGAGAGACAGGGATAAGGAGAAGGAGGTGGCCTGAAAGGGCCTGAAATTCTTCCATAATCTCAGATGCCCTGACCGTTGGGCATTTCATGCCTGGGCTCCCTGAGAGGGGGCTGGCGGGTCACACTGAGAGGCGCTCATGGTGCTGGGAGGACCCCTTAATTGAAGCACCAGGAGTAGCGCAGTGGCCTCCAGGTGCAGTGTGCTGAGCTGTAGGTTCTCTGCCTGGGCCAAGTGTCCACCCCCGCCCCGCCTGCCCGGGCTGTGCTCTCCCGCCACCGTTCGTCCTCCCCCAGAAACATCTGTATAGGGTAATTGTAAATTTTATTGATGTGAAGGGTTCGAAGCACAGAATTTATAAATAATGACAAAATATACACTATTCTTTGCTATAAATCCCATATAGCCAATGGATACTCACAAAAACACTTTTATTAATCATTCGCCTGACTTTATATCCATAGCCACCTCAAGGGTGCAAGTGAAGAGCAAGCGCAGTTCTGACGTGAATGGTGATTGGTGTCGTTTTTGTCGGCTATGTGAGCAACTTCTTTGCAGAATTAGACAGTGGTTTTCAAATGCTGGGAGAGTATTTGCTAAGTTTTTGTGCTAGTCACAATGCCTAAGACACAACACATTTTAAATTTGATCTCTATTACTAGTATTTTCCACATTAGTTTCTGAAGGCTATCCAGCAAAATAAATCGAGCTGATGAGTAGCTTTTGCTGATCTCAAGCAGCCAGTGTGACGTGGAGTTGGGAGGAGCTACCCTATAGCAAGGGATGTAAATAACCTTAAAGAACAGGCAGTAGTGAACTGTAGTGAAACAGTAAGGAAGTGATGATTTTTGAGTATTTATTACCTTTGATGAATATCATTTAATTATAAGCTTGTGTAATTAAAAAATGACTGTGTGTAACAGTCAGCTCAAAAAAATTTCTAAACAATTTACGAGTTGGCCCCTGTGACCTGGTGCGAGTCGGCTAGGGTGTCTTGTGGAGGGAGGGGGCCCCTCTGCTGCGCAGTTCCCTCCGACAGCCCGTGACCTGCTGCAGCCCCGCCCCCTCTCATGGGCCTTCTTTGTGTTTTGAAAGAGGAAGAACCACTTTCATTGATGTAATTTCATAACAATAACATGTTCAATAATGCAGTGTATAAAATTGTTGTAAGTGCACCAAAATCTTTATTTTTATTAAAAAATATTTTATTGTTTTTGCTATTATAGTGGTCCCAATTTTCCCCCTATTGCCCCTCATGGGCATTCTTCTTTGTCCTAGATGCCAAAAGCAGAAATTCCCCGAGGTCAAACCTGAAATTCCGCTTTGACAAGCTCAGCCACGGGAGCTCCAGCTCGGTAAGGATGCAGGGGTGTGGGAGTGGTGGGGGGGCCTCCCACAGCCCACCGGGCAGCCTCCTCCAAGAGGCGGCCTTCCTTCCTGGGGGCACATCACAGCGGGGGGAGGAAAGCTTTAGTCCCATCTGGGTGTGATGCAGTCGTTAGCTTGGAGGTCACCAGTCCCCTCCGCCACATGTCCTATGTTAGAGCCGCACCCCTGGACACACACAGGTGTGTTGGTTCCTGGGGCCCCCGGTCCCTTCCTGAGCTCACTGGGGAGTTGAGACCTGAGTGCACTGAGGTTGCAGTTGGTAGGGATGATGTCGTCTAGTTTTATAAAACTCTTGGATGGATTTCTCTTGAAACAGGGTCACTAATGAGAAAGAGGAGTCCTTTGCCTGTCAAAGGTAGGTCAAGCGTTTGTCCTGCGGTGGCCACGTGGCCTGGTAACCTGATAATGGCCTGGCACCTCTTCCCAAGCCTCTGTGGCAGAGCCCAGGGTGGGGAAGAAGGCAAGTGGTCTAGGGTATGGATGGGAAGGGCTGTTTGGTAATTTGGGCCAGACCCACTGAGGCGGCGTCCTTCCCCCACAGGAGCCCGGTTGAGGGGCAGTAGCCCAGAGCCTGCTTTCCTCTCCTGGAGCAGAGAGTCCTCAGTTTGCCCACTTGCCTTCTGCTCTCTGAAGCCTTTCCCTCCTGATCTTTGCCCACAGCTGGGATGAGGCTCTGCCTGAGTGTCCAGAGATGTCTCAGCGCTGTAATTGTTGTGCAGGGGACCCAAGGGAGGACCTCTGCTCCCAGCCACAGCGCAGGGAGCGTGTCATTTTTAGCAGATAAGGGCCTGGGTCCAGCTCGCCTCAAGGCCTGAACTTATACTAGTGAAGTTAGTAGAGGCCCTTCTGAATTCCCACCCTGCAGTGGGGCTGCAGGTGTGAGTCGTGGAGCCAAGGGGACGGACAGAGAAAAAACAGAGGAGGAAAAGGGCGTGCTGGTGCTCCCTCCCAGTTCAGATTCCTGGTTCACTAGATTCGTGTTATGCCCAGTGTCTAGGCCGTCACAGGCTGGCACCCTCCTGACCTGGCGTGTCCAGTGGTCTACGGCCATGGGTACTTGCCTTCTCCTTTCCTTTATCCCACATTTATCATCTTCCTCCTTCTTGTCTCCTCCAGGGAAGCCCCGATTCTGTCTCGGAGAAGGCTCCTGTCCTAGCAGTTTGGGGGTGCCATTCACTACTATGACTGTCACAGGCCTGTTGCCCTGCCTGCCCACCAGACCAGCTGTCTCTCCCAGTGTCCAGACCTGGCCACAGTGGCCCACCCCTTTGCCAGGACACCCTGCCAACGCCTCCCCTTCTCTGGACAAAGCCTCATTCCTCCAGTCTCCCCTGCTTCTGACCACCCCCTGTGCCGTGTATCTGGGGCATTTGTTGTCTTGTTTTTGCCTGCAGAGGCAAGTGTTGGGCAAGGGGGAACCTGGGTACTGGGGCCTTGGAGAGGCAGAGAGCACAGAGGGGTGGGGAGCGCAGGCCCACAGCAGGGCTGTGTCCTGGGCGCAGCAGGCACAGTGAGTGCGTTCTTGCTGGTGGAGGGCGCACTCTTCCAGGAGCCCATTTGTAGCCCCTCGGAGATGTCCCAATAGAAGTGGGCTCTGTTGCTCTCACGCCTCTGGAGCTCCCAGTGTCTGCTTGCTTCCCTGCCAGTCCCCCTCCTGCCGCCACAGGCCCAGGGCTGCCTCTGTCCCTGCTGCCAGCGCACGGCCAGGTGTGTATGGGAGCGGGCACCACGCCCGTCCTCTTGGCTGATTTCACGCAGGCTCCTGATGGCGGCTGCTGGGGGAGAAGCCCTTTGTCGGTTGCTCCCCTCTGAGTGCGTATTTGTCCCATGAAGGGGAGGGCAGCCAGGACAGAGAAGGAATCGGGGAGAGAGCCAGTGAGCGCCTGGGCCTTGGCAGGCGAGGACCTCAGGTGCTAGGGCGAGGCCAGGACCCAGGTCACTGCTGTCCGTGGAGGTTCGTGGAGTTACCCCAACCTAGCTCTTATGTGGGGGGGAGAGGCGAGGTGGGGATGACTCGGCAGGTGTGGTCGGGGCGACTGTGGGTATAGAACTTAGGTGACAGGAAGGGGCAACCTCTGTCTGTTTCGTGTGGGGAGCTCAGCGCTGCCTGCGGGGCTCTTTCCAGCGACTATGCCCTTCGGCTTTGTCAGGGTGGGATCCCTTGCCCTCTTCCCCTTCCTGACCGACCTCCTGACCGCCTGTGGGCCTGTGGGCAGCTGTCACATTAGAGGCATTCCTGCATCCTGGGCCCCAGCTGGGTGCAGTTCAGACACCACCTGCTGTCCACCCCTCAGCCAGAGAGACCCACCTCCCCTGGGGTGGGACAGCCCCTCCCCGCTTCTCACCACCCGAGTCTGCAGGTGGTTTCTGCAGACCTGCCCTGGTGGGGTTTAAGGCCTGGTGTCCTCCAGGTGAAAACAGTCTGAAGAGCAGACCCTTGGAGGTGCTGCAATTTCAAGTGCGTGTGGGGCCTCTGGGACACAGGGCTGCACGCTGGCCGGGCTCCTGCCTTAATGGACAGGTGATAAGAGTTTCCGACTAAATGCTTTATTTGCATCGGATCTGGGCTTATTCCTAAAGTCGAGGCAGACAAACGTTACCCTTGTTTTTGACTGATGTGGCCATTTCCCCATTGCTTTTTCAATTAGAGCAAAACCTCAATCCTCTGCTGCCCTGCTCCTGTGGACTTGGTGGGGCCCGGTCTGCGGGCTGGTGGACCTCTCCCCTCACATTATTTGGGGAATGTGTTTACTTAAAGTACTAGTCCAGTAGAATTTATTCTAGTTAGAAGGTCAACAGATGTCTGTTTAGATTTTATGACCAATCACCATGGCAGCGCCCACTGCTGGAGTGAGGCCCGCGGATGTGGCAGCATTCTGCTGGCTGAGTTTCTGAAGGAACTTGGAAGGTCAAACTGCATTTCTTTAAAAACGGTTCCAGGGTTCTGGCTTGCTTCTCTGGATAGCTGGTACTCACAGCTGCTCTGTGGTTGTGCTGTGCTGTGTCATGGTCTGGGGGTCTTCTGGGGTTCCAGGTGGCCCCTGCTCCATCCTACTCGGGAACCTCAGAGCCCGCTCCATACCCTGTGCCCGCTGCAGCTCCCACCTGCTGGGAGGGCTTCACACCTGCCTCCGCCAGGGATTAGCTGGGCAGTGACCAGGGAGGCCGAGGGGTGCAGGTCTTCCCTGAGCTTCAAAGACCTGAGAGGGGGCGTCTACCCTCTGTTTGCTAATGGAGGTGCTCTGGGAAGGACCTGAACTGCCCCTCCCTCTGTGTACTGCTTGACCATCCCTAAAAAGTTCATCCTATGGCTTCCTGAATGTACATGCCCAGCCCCCCTGAGGTCCCAGGGCTGAGGGGGGAGAGGAGAACCAGGACCCGGCAGGCTCTGCTCCCCACTCTGGACCTGGGTGCTGCCTTCCCCACAACCCCCTTGTTTCTGCTCGGGCCCCAACTGTCTATCCTTTCATTGCTGTGCCCAGTCTTGGGGCTCGGAAATTTGCTGAAGCCTCCTTGGTCCTCATGGCCAGGCTCATCCCAACGGTGCTCATGCTGGCATTTGAGGCATCTTGCATCTGGTCTCCGGACCAGTCCCTGGCTCCGGGAACTGCCTGACTCACAGACGAAACCATGCTTGTCAGGCTCTCTGGGGCACCCCCACACCTCTGCTCAGGTGATGCTTAAACGCAGGTGCAGAAAGAGCCTGGAGAGGTTTCTGTCATGAATGGAAAATGGGGTTTCTTGAAAAATACCCCATGGTTTGGCCTTGTCAGTATCATCTTGATGTCCATGCCTTCTGGGCCCCTTGTAGTGTCTGATCCAACCACATCACCTTCCAGATCAGAACCTCAGCTCCAATGCAGGGAAAAAGAACTTGCTTGAGGTCACATAAGCAGCTAGTGGCAAAGCTGGGATTAGAACACACAGCCCAGGGCCCTTTCTTTGGCACCACCTACACGGTTGGTTCAGCAAGGGCTGCATTTCCTGGGGTCCTGGCTGGGAGGTGTCCACAGTCAGGGGTGCTGGTGGGGCCTCTGACTCTGTTCCTTTCATCGGGAGGGATACTGGGATTTTCAGTGACAGCCCCTGGGTTTGGATGCAGCTTGGGCAAAGAAAGCAAGGAGAGAAGGCGGTTTCAGTGGCTTGTTCCTGGGTGACGTCGACCCTTCAATCTGGTGTGCAAGGGGGTGGAGGCCAGGGCATAGACGCAGTTATCCAGCCCTTAGTTTCCCCTTTTTCAGTTAAGAAAAGTGTAAATGAGAAGTCTTTGATTCTCCCTGGTCCTTAAACAAAGGGGACAGTAAAAATACAGACTCCAGTGGCGAGGCGGGATGAGAGCCTGTTTGTTTCTTACCCTGACTGTTCAAGGTGCCAATGCAAACACTACCTTCCTCCTTCCACTGAGAGTCAGCAGAGGCGGGTTTGTCGTGGGGGGGAGTGGGCAGGGTTCCAGCAGAGCCTAGGGCTGCGGGCGGCTGGCAGGGACCTGGCCATGCAGCTGTACTCAGGACCACTCAGCTCCTCTCCCAGCCTGTGGCTGCCCCTTTCTCGAGGGCCAAGGGTGGGAGGCAGTGGAGTTTGCCTAGGTTGTCCCCGGCTGGGGGCTGGGTGGGGCATTCTTCTGCAAACTCTGATATCTGTTTTACCACTAGCTCCTTGTCCTACCCACCCCATGTCTCCCTCCTTTTAGCTGGGCCATGTGCCCCTTTGGTGGGAAGGAGACAACCCCACTAGGGCCAGGGACAGGGGAGCCCTGCCTAGAGCAAGGCTGCTGGGGCAGTGGCTCTGTTCTGTGCCTTACCTGCCCTGGGGAGAGGGTGCATGGCTGGACGACTGGAATTTAAATGCTGTTGTCTTTGATTCTGTGACGTTTCCGCTTGGAAGGGTCAGTCCCCCGTTCCTGCTCCTTAGCATGTGTGCCCACTCTCCCCTGTCATGGCGTTCCCCTTCCGCACTCCAGCCGGGGAATGCTGACGTGGCAGCGTGCAGAGATCCCTCGTTGTGACTGAACCTTAGAGCTGCAGCTTGGAGATGCTGATCACGTGGTGATGACTTTCCTTCCTCTCCTCTTCGAGGGGAGGGATTCGTAGACCCTGACTGCCTATGTAATGTAAATAGTGTACATTTAATTTATTGCTATGGTAGCACATTGTATTTGTTAATGTATAAAACAAATTCTAAAAGGTTGAGAAATGTATATTTTGTTGCTTAAATGTGTCTTTGCAGAAATTGACAATAAATAACATATTTTGTGTCCATCAGTGTTTGGACTTCCTTGCCTGGGGCTCCTCTCCTGAACCTTTTAGTTCACAGAGGTTGAGTACTGGCAGGCAGCCCGTGGGCCTGTCGATTTGGTAACTAAAAAGTGGTTGAAAATTTTCCAACTACTTACCGATGTTAAAAAAAAAATGACCACAATTAAAAGTTTTTTGAAAACCTAGACACTTCACAGAAAATCTGAATTTTCCGCTTCTGTTGAAAATCCGATGCTGGGTCCACTCCTTCTGAGTGGCACTCACTGGGATGGTGCCATAGTGCCCTCCGGTCCCACTGCTGACACCTGACACCCGGAGCACCTCACTCTTTCCTGTCTTCTCCTCCTGTAAACGCTCTGAGTTTGAGGTCCCTGCTGTTCACTGAATGTCTTCGGCCTGGGATCTCCTTTGTGCCTGCTTTCTTTCCAGATTCCCAGTTTGCTTCTTCAAGGATTCTTTCATGATTAAATGCCCTCCCTCCTATCTTCTTTGACTCCTGGGTGGCCACACTTACATACATATACTTTGCTTTCCAGTATTTGGATGTGCAAACTTTACAAAGTTTAGAAGTAATACATGTATTTATTTTTCCTTTAAGAAATTTGAAGGCAAGAAATGGGCCTTTTTTTTGCTGGGACTTAATTGGGTGGTCTTGGGCAGATTACTTAACTTTTTGAATTTGCATTTTCTTTTATGTATAATTGGGAATATAATCCACAAGTAAAGCATGAGGCTCAAAGTGAATTTATAATCAGGAAAAAGCTTTGAAAGAAAATAAGTGTTATTCAAGCACCAGGGCTTCAAAAATAAGTGTTGTTATGATAACAATAAGAGCAGCCGACACTTATTGAATGCTTACCAGGAGCTGAAGTGTTTTACATGCTTAGTTCTGCTGTGACCTGACGTTCTGGCCCCTAAGAAGTCACAACACTATGCAAAACTGTACAAAGGGGAAGATTGGGGCTGGGAACATAACATGTAACAGTGACACATAAAAATAAAAATTCATTCACTACTCAGTGAAAATGGTAGCAGTTTTACACGTGTTGAGTGATTGAGAAATACATAAATGCTGCAGTAAATACGGTGTTTCTTGAAATAGCCCTGAAGTTTGACTGTGGATGTGGGTGTGGAAGGGCTGCCACGGGCGAGCTGCTAAGAAGCAGAATGAGAAGCTCCCCACTCCGGAGGCCAGCAGCTGCCCCACATACGGCGTGTGTGGCTCCTCACACGTGCGTCACGGAAGCTGGTGGAGGTTTGGGGTGTGGACGTGGAGGTTTTGCGTGTGCCTACGCAGCTCGATTCAGCGGGGTGCAGTTTTCTGCGTTCACGTGGTGTTTCTCGTGGGAGAGCTGCACCCTCAAACGTGCATTTATGTTCTACTCATATTTTCTTCTAATATATCAATTGCATTGGACCAACTTACCATTTTCAAAATGAGTATTTCCGTAGAACTGATTGTATTACCTCAGTCATCCAAGCAACCTATTAAAGCATGTGTTATCGTCTCTCTTTCATTTAAAGAATCAGAATCAAGTTTCAGTTTGGAATCTAAGTTGGATGTAGGGTCACATGGACATGCTGACCTCAGCGTGAAGGTGCGGTTCGGACTGTGGGGCCCCAGGTGCACAGGGATGGACCAGGGAGAGTGCATTCCACCCCTTCGGTTTCCCTGCGCAGCTTGGAGCCGCAGTGCTGTGCTGTCCCCGGCCGCTCTCCTCACACCCAGGCCACGTGGCAGCGCACCCGAGCCCATGGTGTCAGGCTTCCTGTCTCTCCAAGGTTTACATTCTCTCTGTTGAGTCCTCATGGCTGCAAGTGAAGCTGCGTCTTTTACACAAACACCCACCCGTTGCCCGTCTGCACCTCAGGGGTTGTCTGCTTCCTGGGTTCAAGCCTTCCTCCCAGAAGCTGGGGGGTCCCTGACTCTGTGGAGCCTTTGTGGAGGTCAGATGTGGGAAAGTGCACAGGTGACCATCAGCTGGGCCAGTTCCAGTCCCTCTAAACCTTCAGATTCTCAGCAGGCTCACCTTTCAGCCTAGGTCTGTGTTCAGAAGTCCTCCACTAGATGGGGTGCTCTGTCAAGCTAGGGGCGCCTTCAAACTCCAGTAACCTGTTCCCCCACCCTCAGTGTCCAGCAGCTCACAGGAGTCAGCAGACATCTCGGGGCCATTATTCTGCCTGCCACATGGGAAAGGCCTTCCCAAGCAGCGGCTGGGGCCCTGCTCAGTTTTCCCCTCCATCTCACTCCCCCAGAGCCTGCTGTGTCCAGCGGTGCTACCAGCTGTGCTCCAACCAACCCTTCCTTGCTGTCTGGGTAGCTGCCAGTAACAATGCGATAGCAGTCCCGTTCTCTAACTTCACAGTAGCCATCAGTTACTAAGACAGTGTCATTTTGGTGCAGACTCAGTCCCCTTTGTTTTACCTTCAATTTACATTCAATTCTAGCACTGCCCACCGTGCCCTGGGGAAGGTTAGCCTGCTGGGCCCAATGCCTTGTGTGTGGAGAGGACCCCCCTCCTTGACCTAATCTCTGAGCCCTCTTCAACGAGGTGTCACCTTTGGCCTGTGCTTGGCCTGCCCAGCCCAGTTTCAGCAAAGTATCCTACTAAACTGGTTTATCAAGAGTCTTCCCCACTTGTCACCTTTGATACTCAATCAAGTTGCTCTCCCCCACCCTTGATACCTAACCAAGTTCCTCTAGTAATTTTCCATCTAATTCTTCACCTTGCCTGGTGGCTAGAGATCCCCACTTGTCCCTGTTGTGTTTGGAGTTGAGGCCAATCTCTCTCCCCTGTCACAACAGTGTTCAATGGAGCCTTCCTTGCCTGCTGGACTCACCTGGTGCAGCTTTTCTTTGAGAGATGGCTGGCCCGCCCTCATGCCCAAGTTCCTCCTCCTCCTCTGCACCTCCACGCTGATGCTGGGGTGGGGAAGAGGGAGGCAGAAGAGGCCTCTCATTTTGAGACAGCCCCTGAAAGAGTTAGTGAGGTACTATGAGGAGCAGATGACAAGGCAGAAATAAGGAATTTATTGGAGGCAAGACCTGTGTGTGAGAGAGGACGTGGGGACAGAGCTGGAGAAGGCGGGCGAGCTCCCAGACTGTGATGCCGTCTGCCCGGTGGAGGCGAGCTGGGTGGAGGCGAGCTGGGAGGACCTGGGAGGGTGGGTTTCCCTTTGATAGCAGTCCAGTGCTAAGAAAATCCTGCAGGGCTGCTGGGGGGTCCCCTTGCCGAAGACGCCCACCAGAGAAGCCCCGCATATCACAGGAATGAGCCTAAAATTGCTCTGTCTGCCACACCCAGTCCCTGGGAGAGAGCAGCCCACAGGAAACCTGGCTTGGGTGCAAACTGTGACTGATTTCTAAGGGCAGCAACTGGGGCCGGTGCAGGTCCCTGCAGTTGGAGACCTGACAGGCACCTTCTCATGGTCGTCTTGGACTGTCCGGATTTCGGTTGTTTGGAATTCCCTCTCAATGTCAGAGAGGCCCTCGGTAGTGCAGGGGAGGCTGAGACCTCCTTTCTCCTGGTTCTCTTTGCCTCTCTGTCTCACACCAACCCTCTGTTGGTCCCTTTTGCTTGGCGGGCATTCAGAGATGCTGCTGTCTTGTCACAAGTCCCCTGCCATGCAGAGATGGGGCTCAGGCTGGACCCATTTATCCTCTTCCTTGCCTCCTGCCCTAAGAAATCTACCTTTCAGCCTTTGGATAAAGGTGTAAACTTCAAGCCCAGCTTCCTCCTTGGTATCCCTCCACTCAACTCTCAGGACATTTCCTATCCCCCACCTTCCCCCCTTACGGAGAGCTATGCCTGCTGCTCTGTGCCATGTCCCAGCATTTTTTCTCTCCACCCCGCGTCTATCTCCTCCTTTCTCCACAGGTGGTCTTGGCGGTGTTAAGACACTCACCATACCATGACCCCTTGGGGGTGTGTTTGGAGGACCCACGACCTTGTAGGAATAGAGAAACGTGTCAAATGCCCTCCCTCCTTCTTGGAACCAGTCTTCCTTGTTTGTCTACTGTCTCTCGAATGAAGTGGGGGTGTTGGTTTTATTGCTGGTTCTAATGAAATGGTGGCTCTCTGCATGCCTGGTGGGGCGCGCTGGATGGCTTCTGGGACTCCGCTGGTTCCCCGAATTTGAAATGTGAATTTGGTGGGTTCCTGCTGCAGCCTGTTCACACATCTGCCCTCACACATTTCATGGGTTTCCCACGGTGAACACTGCTTATGGGAGCCAAGGTTGTGCTCCAGAGAGGACCTCTGAGACATAGTTATGAACACCTAACGGCAGTGACCCCCAGAAGGGGACCTGTGGTCTCCATTTATTCAGGCAGAGATAATGTCTGCTGGAAACACCAGGGTCATCGGTCTGCAGTCTCTGTCAGTCTCGCTCCTGTTACAGTCGGCTGGGGTCCAAGTGAGAGAGTGACGGGGAAAGCGAGGGGGTGGGGGCGAAAGATGCCTGTCCACCACCTAAGGTATTGTCATCATCATTATCACACATATGAGAGCAATGTCTCTCCCAGCAAGACACAAGATCTTGCAGGAAAACAAAAGGGAATCACTAGAGAGAAGAGAATAGAGAAATATACAGCAAACAGAAAGCCAGTAAGGAGCAGTTTAAGATGCGAATGGATTATGGCTGCGTGAACCGCAAGGGCATTCTGTAACAGAAACACTGGGAGACAAGGTGAGCGTCGTGCATGCGACAGAAGGAGTCTAGTGAGAAGGAAAGTCAGACACTGAGAGAAGCGAAATGAAATTAAAATTGAAACTTGAAATACAGCTGGAGCCTCTTTCTTCAAATTAAAACAGGCGATCAGATGAAAGACGACCGATGATGAGCCTGCAGAATCCTCCCTGCGGCCCAGGAACGAAGCAGAGCCGCCAGGAGCGGAGGAGGACCCCCCAGGGTGAAGTGTGCTCTGCTGCTAATGATGTTAAAGGCAAAACTACCTGGTAACTGCAGCAGGTGTGGTCGATGAATTGACTCCATCAAGTGGA